CCATTGATCTCAGAGACATATTGTTCTGTGATTTCTGAAACTGAATCGCAATAAGGCTTTGGAACTAAATGTAAGATGTTGAAATCAAAGGTTTCTCTATCCAAACGACATAATAGCTTCAACTATGTTGAAAATGGAAACACATGTAGAATCACTCATCACAAAATATACTGTCTTTTCTGTGATGTGGACATTTCTGTTTCATATACTTCACTTCATTTTCAGAAATTTATATATATATAATCTTACGTTATCTAAAAGAAAACACTTTAAAAGCCTTTTTACAAAATCTCATTTCAAAATCAAGTTCCAAGTGTATCAAACAATGAATCACAAACTTTGACATTTTTAATGAGTGAAAATTTGATTGTTGTAATAGATACATAATAAACAATGTTTTATTTTATATTATTGTTTAGTTTTGTAAGTCACATATTCTCACTGAAATATGAGATTTTGTAAAAAAAAACTTTTTACTTGTTTTCTTTCAGATAACATAGGATATCCAAAAGATAAAAGATGTTTCAGTGAGAATATGTGAGCTACAAAACTAAAAACACATCGCCAAAATATAAAATAAAACTTTTTTTTTTCATATTGCTCATTTCATACATTACAACAATCAAATTTTCATTAATTAAAAATGTCAAAGTTTGTGATTCATTGTTTGAAACACTTGGACCCTAATTTCACAGAAGAGTAAAACTGAAATATACATATTTTCTATTAGAATATTATATATAGTTTTATATAAAATTGGATTTCAAAATATTACATGTGCAAAGTACATTTTCTGAATATAGAAATATTAAAACATTAAACAGTTTATTGATCAAAAGGTCTTTTAAAAACTTTCCTTGAAAAGCCACAATACTGTACGTTTTTAAGTCTTTTTATTGTGAAAACATTTATTGTATTTCATGTATTTTCTCGAGTTACATATGTGATAATCTAAGATTAAATATGCACCCAAAATCACCTTCATAAAGGACAAAAAAAAAGAATAATTTTAAGTGTTACAGAGAACAAAATATTAGAAAATGCTGCAAATACTTTAAAATATGCAGGATCCTGTGCTGAAAATTTGTTCATATTAAATCACTGCATGTTTAACTGACTTTGTAATTGTAATCCAATTGTAACATGTGCTCCAAACTATTGTTCTTGGGAGGAAGAGAATGATACATTTATAATGTCATTTATTATATAACTTTATTTAGCTTTTCTTTAACAACTAAATCAAACTGACTATACAACCATTTTATTACCTTAGCAATTTAGCACCGAGCTTATAAAATATGAGACATTCGTGACTCACATGGTGAGACAGTGTGCAAGAGAATCGGTTCAAAGCTCGAGCTCTATCAAAAAATAAAATGAAATTACAAAAACCAAAATCACTTGCTATCCAGTGATCATCATGCATTTTCATTGTATAGAAAAGTGTGTTTGACATTTTTATAATAATATATCGAAACATATTTAAAATTTACTAGAGAGGCAAGACTGCATATGATAATAAGACTAGATTTCAGATCATATATTTTAGATTAGCATTTTTTTTATAAACCATTAGCAAACTGTTTTTCTTGTTTTAAGCATTAATAGGCTAATATTTTGGTATCACTGACATACTATTATAGATTTTGTTAATAATTAGAATATTCTTTTTTTTATATATATTTTATATTTTGGTTCTAGTAATTTTGTAGTGTGTTTTTGTCATTTTTCTTATTTTTTATATCAATATAGTTTTCATTCATTTGCATTTCTGTTTTAGCTTTAGTTTTTTTTAGTACATAAACTAAATTAAAATGAGAAATGTTGCCTTGACAACTAGCTGAAATAAAATAAATGTACAAATTTAAATACATTTTTATTTCAGGTCAAGTTTGTTTCTTTCAAGTGTTAAGCAAAGGTAAAAAACTATTTTCCGCTCAAGGATCTTACAATTTAGAGGATCCAAAACATGATCATGGTAATTTAAGTCATTTGTACAAGATGGTGAAAACATTTAACTTTCATGTTTTTTCTCCTATTAGAATCATTGGGTTGTTTGGGTTCAGCTTTTGTGGTTATGCTTTTGTACAACCCATCTGGCGGATTTTCACCATCATATGAATTCTCATGGGGGAGCATTAAAGGTGGAGCAGCCCAGAAGACAAAGCTGGTGTTAATGACAGAAAATAAGTGACTAAGAAACCTGTCAAGCCAGCCTTTACAACACGTCTTCATTCTGGACGATTCAAAGGTTTCCCAAATCCCTTGAGAGCAATGTTCGGCACTCACTCAGTTGGCTTTTCCACTTCCATGGCTTTCATTTTACAATCATTACCCAAGTCTCTGGCAGCAGCCAGATGAGCAAACGATGGATGTAATTACCTAATGTACTTGAATACTTTGGCGTTGAATATGTGAATGTAATGTTACCACATTGAGCCAGCCAGAAAAGAAGAAAAAATCAAGACTGACATGATTGTTTCTTTGAAGAATTTTTTATAGATTTGATTTGTCACTTTAAAGTCAACATAAAATAACATATGCAACCTTAATTCAGTAATGTGACATTGTTTAGGAAAATGGGATACTCAACAATAAAATGTACACTCTCAGAAATAAAAGATACAAAACTGTCACCGGGGCAGTATACCCTAATGTACAAAAGCTAAAATGTACATCTTTGTACCTTATTTAACCTTAAATGTTACATATTAGTACATTAAATGCATATTAGCAGTGTTGGGGAAAGTTACTTTTAAAAGTAACGCATTACAATACTCCCTAAAAAAGTAACGTGTCACGTTAATTTTGCATTCATTTTTCTCATCTGGGCTGGGATTACTTCTTTGTTTTTAATATAAAATGTTCTATTTTTGGCAAAGGTAAAAGCCTTTGACAGCAAAATTGAAATGAATACAGTAAGCCTCAGGCTAAAGGAAATGTACATTCACGTCTGTACAGTAGACTGCGCAGCTCAAACAAACCTTTTAGCTGTGCAGCCATAACACAAACGTTATGTTTATCTAAAGTCATTTTTGCTTATTAGTATGGATAAATAGTATCATCGAATGTCAGCAAAAATGGGATTAAATACATTGCAGGTTTGCGTCATAATCTAAATTTGCATGAAGAATACTGAATCTGATTTTGTCCAAATTAGATGTTTTCACAGTGCACACAACGCCTCTGAACTTACTCCTGATCTCTCTCAGCATTGGAGAGATCAGTCAAAGTAACTGGTGTTACGTATTTGAAAAAGTAACTTAAAAAGTAAATTAAAAAGAAATGTGCCACTTTACTAGTCACTAGTCAAAATGATCTGATTACATAACTCGAGTTACTCGAGTGATTAGTGTTGGCATTACCACCCAACACTGCATATTATTACCTTTTGAAATGGTACCGCCCTAGTAATAGTTTGGTACCTTTTTTCTGTGAGTGTAGGGCTTGGAATTTTATAGAAAATCTTGTCAAATTCATATTTTACATTCATTCCATCCCATTTATTGAGATGCATAAAGCAGTATTGTATCTGTGGGTGGGCTTTTCTATTGCAGACTAAAGCACATGGAATCAGCTCATTTCTGTGTTTATCGCACACCATCAGTTCACACTGAATCTATTTGTAACATCTAGGCCTTTTCTTTGGAAAACAATGTGTACCAGTACATGAGGTCAGAAGCGAGAAGTCATTTAAAATGTAACTCTAAAGCGAAAACAGGTTTCCTAATGGCCAAATGTGATTTTAAATTTACTGGACATACTTCAGAATTATAGCGTCATCTGCTGGTCAAAATGTCCCTTCCCACTTTTCATTTAGTCTCTTGATATTGTGCAATTGTACTGAAACTGTTGTTGAAGGTGTAATGAAATGCATTAAGCATATAACATTGTATTTAGTCAGATAAAAAAATCATGCATGCAACAGATCCATATCAAATAAACATCCAAATGTATGTTCTTTTGGCAATTTGTTCAGATAATCTTGTAACAATCATGCCCTGAGAGGAAAACAAAGTCAATTCTTGTTGTTTTCTGTGTGTAATTATTATGTCATGTGCATGCATCGGATCTGATGACATTTGAGTCACAAATTTGTGAAAAAACAAAAACAGGCTATCGTGCATGTGTGTGTGTGTGTGTACCTGTTTTTCTATTCTGATGGGGACTTAAACCTGAATACACACAGACTCATGGGGACTCATGTCATGGTGGGGACCTAAATTGAGATCCCCACGGGTAAACAAGCTAATAAATCACACAGAATGAAGTTTTTTGAAAATCAAAAAATGCACAAGGTTTCCTGTGAGGGGTAGGTTTAGGTGTAGGGTTGGTGTAGGGCAATAGAATATACAGTAGAAAAAGCATTACGTCTATGGAGAGTCCCCACAAGGATAGCAAACCAGACATGAGTGTGTGTGTGTGTGTGTGTGTGTGTGTGTGTGTGTGTGTGTGAGAATATTGTTCACATTCCTACCTTTTTATTCAAAAACTAAAATAACTCTCAGGGTTTTCTCTCACAAATACACAGTGTCCCTAAATTTTTTTTGCACATGTTATATCTGAATGCCATTGCATTATGTAACAAAATATCAAAGCAAGTGGCATCTGTGCTTTTCTGAACCTTTTTGTGCAACTGTTGTTTTGATGAATTAGATTAAGGTAGTTCTTCACATTAAATATGAACATGTTCCATTAATGTCTGACATCTAAAGCTTTAATTAGAACTGTATATCTACAGTTTCTTTTTTCATTTTTGTTCAGACAAAAGTGTGTTTCTGACATCCATTCAAGTGTGAAGTGTCCAAATATGTTTCCGGGCAACACGCTTGCTCTCTCTTCGTACACATACTTATCCTTTACCCTTTCTATTTTTTCATGTCTGTCTCGCTCCCTCTAACCCGTCTGGGCGTGTGGATCCGCCCATGCTTAATTTTTTATCATTTCGTCCTTTCTGAATTTCCTGACTACAAAAGTCTGTCTGACATTGCTCTCTCAGTCTCAGCAGGGGAGCGGGGAATATCTCAAGCCAGCTACACAAAGGGAAAACAGGGGCCCCCATTACTCACCAGGACAGGTCAGTTTGTAAATTCCCAACACCGACTCCTGAAGATTTCCATGGGTAGTTTTGCTTTTGAATGCACCCTGAAAGAGGATATAAAAAAGACGAGATTGTCAGAAACAGGAGGTTGAACATGGTGAGACATGATGAATTGTGATCAAATGCTACTAGAAATACTGTAAACCGGAACTGTAGCTCTGCTTGTGAACTTTTAAGTGTTTTGTGAGTATTAATATAGAACTTACTGCACTGGAATATAACAGTCCTTCTCGTTTTCTTGGCACATGCTATTTGGCCTATACTACAAAAAAATGACTCCGTTGCCGGCTGGAGAAGTGGTTTTGCGCAAAATCTATAGGTTATAATTTTAACTACCATTAAAGTGCTCTGATAGATGTTTTTTGTATGTTGTAACATAAAGGAATAGGTTACGCTTACGTTTGTTTTACGTCTAATTTCTGCGCATTTACAAAACGTTTTGAGCTTCAGTTTGGATAAATTTGACCTTTCAAAGATAATTCATAAAGGCTAGTTTTGTCTATTTTTTTTTTCTCTCTCTCTCTGTTTGTTTAGGGGTTTGAAATAGCACAAGCCTTTAAAGCTTGAACATCCAGTTTTGTGTATGGCTAATTCTGTTTGTGTACGTATGTGATTATTACTAAATCTGCAGCTTTATGTTTTTGATGTTTGTGTTTGAAACTATTGTCTCGTGCAGGGTGAAGTCTTAATATGAATCCGTCATTGTTGCTGTGCTGTGTGCTGCTCTGTTTAGCCTGCTGTGTTACGGTACATACACACATGATTATGGAGGAACAATACAGCTCCAACCAAACAACCATCAGCTTACACGCAAATAACCAAACAGATGCACCTTCTGTGCTCATAGTCGGTAAGGCTTCTTTCTCTTACAGAGAAACTGTTCGAAACAAATCGTCATCATTCTTAATCAAGAACTGTAAAAATGGTCAACAGAAACTTCTAGCTAAGTGCCAAGCTGTTGTTTTTAATCGCATCAGTATGAATGCATCATTCTCTATTTCACATTTCTTCATGTTACTAATTTAGAAACATTCCACTTAAATGATGTATGTTCTAATGTAGTTGTTTTCCGCTATCGAAGGGCTTTCAAAAACACCTAAGAAGAACAAGAAAACGGAAAAGAAACCAAAAAAGGTTTGTAAAGTTAGATATTGATTTATGGTTACCCCTTTAATACAATTGTCCACACAAATATAATCATGAGAAGCTACAAAAAACCAACAACAACAAAAATTATGTTAGGGTGTTTAATTTAGTTTATGGTGATTTAAAATATGTTTAAAAATAATATGCTGCTAAGTACAAACTGTTCACATATTTATTCAGTCTACCGCCTTGTATCAGTCTTAAAATATTAGAATTTCAGGATGATCAAATTCAGTATTTGTTTATTGATCTGTACGTCTATTCAGGGAAATATAGATATATGTTTATTAAAATTGAAATAGCTGTATTGGATTTAGTATAGCATTCTGTGACGGAAATTACATTTTAAATATTTTTGGAGGTTATGTAGACCACTCCTTTGTTTTGCTGAGGCTAATTTCATAGCTAGCATTTTACACAATTAAACAACATTTCCCCACTTTTCAAACACGACCAAATTGCTTGGAAATTACGTGATATTTACCAGGATCTTGTTTTCTTCGCGCACCACGCGTCGGGCTCTTCTCTGGCACTTTTGTCTGCTTGGAAACCAAGTAGCTAACGGTTGATAACAAAAGTTGTTTTACAGACACATTAGTTGGACGTGGTGAAAATGATGCCTTAACTAGGGTACGGTGGTCATTTGTGCTAAAAATGTCAAGCGTTTTCGCTCCGTGTTAATCATTGGCTCATGTTTACTTGCAATAACAAATATAAAATGCACCACATAGGAACTTAAACCTTCATTTGGTATGTGTTTCAGAAATTCAGCAACCGTGTGAAGAGACCTCCGCCGCCGCCGAACTGCGTGCCGCTCTGGAGCAGCTGCACGACGCCCAACGCGGTGTGCTGCGAGCAGTGCGCCTTCTGCCACTGCCGCCTGTTCAAGACCGTCTGCTACTGCCGCATGGGTAACCCGAAATGCTGAACACCCCCTGCCCTGAAAGGAGGAGGATGGGACTGTCCCGATCCCAAAGGCTTGTTTATAAAACCCTGTGGGATTAGGACAACCGAACATCAGTGCACTCCATCATATAATCGGAGATTTCCTGGCTAGATATTATAACGTTACCTACTGCTCGTCACAAACGCTCGGGAATAAGGAGAAGAGCCACCTGGGTGATTACCGAAGTACTTTACATTTTAATTCAATGTATATGTATTTTTAAAATGTTCGCGTTAATGAAAAGAGTAAGCACTTTATGGAAAAATGTTAAAGCATCCGGGTCTGACCTGCAACCTGTTTGAGCTGCTGTAAACAAAAAAGGGATCCAGCAGAAAAGGGGAAATCACCATGACAACCACAGTTGCCGCCAAATAGTTGTTGGTGTTTACTACAGTAAAACCCGCCAACACTCTCGACAATAAATCAAAGAAAACTAAAAATAAACATATAATTAAATAAAACGACAGATTCAGAGAGCTTATTTAATAAGAGTATTTTACAGAAAGAAATAAATTAATGGTAATTGGTTTAAACTAATGGGGAATATTTTTGTTGAAAGACAAAGTAGATGAGTAAATATAGTTCTTGGGTCGGTTTTAAAAATGTACGTTTCTGTACATTCATGTATATATTTCGTCTGAAAATTGTAGATGCAATGTCTATGATTATTATTGACTCGAGACCAATATCCAATTTATCCGGGGGAAAACGCGGGAAAAACGTTGTAGGATCTCGCGCTTTTCGTTGTAAAAATAAAAAAGTACATTGTAAATGAATATAATAAAGAATTAAACGTGTAATTTGTCTAAAGCATTCTGATTTATGAAAATGCTCTTGCTAGCTTTTTAGTATTTTTATTATTATTTTTTTAAGTTTGAGTACAGAATTCCCCCAAATTATAAAAAGAGGCTGTATATAAGTTGGGAGAATTCTGTATATACTGTATATACAAAAATATATATAATTTTGGGGAATTCTATAATTCTATATTCCTATAGAATTTTGGGAAATGTGTATATTTTGTATTTTATATATATTCCTCTAAAGCTTGCTACTTGTGGTGCAGACCTCTTTTCTCAAAAGTCAGCCGAGTGATTTCCCTGCATATGTTATGTAGTAGTAGGATTCAGGGAAACCGTAAGACAGTAGGCCCATGAGAGAAACAAGACTTTGAGATGTAAAGGCAACTGATAGACTTAGCTTAAATTACCCTAAAAAAAAACTTTTTCAAAAAACAACTTTAGTATAATACTTATCACTTGTACCTATGCTGAAAACATGCATCTTTGGTAAGTTGACATAACATACCCATGAGTTTATTATGAAAAAATTGTATTTTGAGTATTTCAACGAGTTCCAATTTTTCAGTCGCAATCTGTGACTACCAAGTGAACTATTTTTGAAATAAAGTCATTCCTATAAACAATTTAATTTACATATATCCCATGTAGGCTCTCATTTTAATGAGGTCATAAAATCTGCATGCGTAATGAAAAAAATAACCAACAAATATTTAATACAAACTAGAGTGCAACTACTTTAAAGGTCTTGCTTTAGAGACAACTGATTATGCAAAGCAAGATCAAAGCGTATGGACACAGGTTCCAAACACCTCAAATAATTATCGGTCCAACACAGGCAATAAAACACACGCACAGGGTGACACTAAAGGCTCCAGACGCCACAGCTGGTTCACATTGAAAGGAAGCAATGGGTGAGAAAGGAGGAGAGGAAAAAGAAAAACTCAAAAAGATAGACCCTTGTTATGTCTCTCAGGGGACACTTTGCAGGCATTTTAGGGGTCCGGTACATCTAATGGCCTACAGACTATTCCTTTACCCCACAAACACTAACTACACCATTTTACAATAATAAGGGCCAAATTAGATTGAAGCCATGTGTCTGTATGGCAGCTTGAATTACTAAGACACTGCTTATCTATGGAATAAACCAGTTTGGGTTCATTAGTTACTCGATGAGACCCAATAGTGATTTTATGGATGCAGGCCCGGTCCTTACAGCGGTTCTGCTATTTTTCATGGCTCCTCTCAGACGCTTTGTTGCTGACCGCACATCGTGGCCTCGTTTTTCATCGGGGAGTTATCATTGTCACAAGTCTGTCAGTGAATGCCTGAGCATGATGTTTTTATCAAGGAACCGTTGAAGGACACAAGTGGAACGGTTTTAATTTCATATGTTTTGGCTTGTGATATTACGATTATTTATGGGAAATGTCATAACTCAAATGCTGTGAAGATTCTTGAAATCGCTTGGCATCATTCGGTTTAACATCAGAATGGAGATATTGCAATCATCAAGAACTGCAGAAAGTCATTGCAGGAGTATGCGAGATGGTTGGTTCACCCTAAAATTCAAGTTCGGTCATCATTTTCTTGCTCAGTGTCATTTTATTTCTCTACGGGAAGAAAACGAGGTATTTTGAATGTCAGTGGGGTCCAAACAACATTAGGCTCCACTGGCTTTCACTGTGTGGGAACTTCACTTCTTTTTGTATTCCACAGAAAGTCATAGTCTTAGAAAAACACGGGTAAATGCTGACCGTATTGTCATTTTTGGGTGAACTGTCCCTTTAAGTTCGCATTAAACAAAATTGAAATGAATACAGTAAGCCTCAAGCTAAAGGAAATGTACATTCACGTCTGTACAGTAGACTGCGCAGCTCAAACAAACCTTTTAGCTGTGCAGCCATAACACAAACGTTATGTTTATCTAAAGTCATTTTTGCTTATTAGTATGGATAAATAGTATCATCGAATGTCAGCAAAAATGGGATTAAATACATTGCAGGTTTGCGTCATAATCTAAATTTGCATGAAGAATACTGAATCTGATTTTGTCCAAATTAGATGTTTTCACAGTGCACACAACGCCTCTGAACTTACTCCTGATCTCTCTCAGCATTGGAGAGATCAGTCAAAGTAACTGGTGTTACGTATTTGAAAAAGTAACTTAAAAAGTAAATTAAAAAGAAATGTGCCACTTTACTAGTCACTAGTCAAAATGATCTGATTACATAACTCGAGTTACTCGAGTGATTAGTGTTGGCATTACCACCCAACACTGCATATTATTACCTTTTGAAATGGTACCGCCCTAGTAATAGTTTGGTACCTTTTTTCTGTGAGTGTAGGGCTTGGAATTTTATAGAAAATCTTGTCAAATTCATATTTTACATTCATTCCATCCCATTTATTGAGATGCATAAAGCAGTATTGTATCTGTGGGTGGGCTTTTCTATTGCAGACTAAAGCACATGGAATCAGCTCATTTCTGTGTTTATCGCACACCATCAGTTCACACTGAATCTATTTGTAACATCTAGGCCTTTTCTTTGGAAAACAATGTGTACCAGTACATGAGGTCAGAAGCGAGAAGTCATTTAAAATGTAACTCTAAAGCGAAAACAGGTTTCCTAATGGCCAAATGTGATTTTAAATTTACTGGACATACTTCAGAATTATAGCGTCATCTGCTGGTCAAAATGTCCCTTCCCACTTTTCATTTAGTCTCTTGATATTGTGCAATTGTACTGAAACTGTTGTTGAAGGTGTAATGAAATGCATTAAGCATATAACATTGTATTTAGTCAGATAAAAAAATCATGCATGCAACAGATCCATATCAAATAAACATCCAAATGTATGTTCTTTTGGCAATTTGTTCAGATAATCTTGTAACAATCATGCCCTGAGAGGAAAACAAAGTCAATTCTTGTTGTTTTCTGTGTGTAATTATTATGTCATGTGCATGCATCGGATCTGATGACATTTGAGTCACAAATTTGTGAAAAAACAAAAACAGGCTATCGTGCATGTGTGTGTGTGTGTGTACCTGTTTTTCTATTCTGATGGGGACTTAAACCTGAATACACACAGACTCATGGGGACTCATGTCATGGTGGGGACCTAAATTGAGATCCCCACGGGTAAACAAGCTAATAAATCACACAGAATGAAGTTTTTTGAAAATCAAAAAATGCACAAGGTTTCCTGTGAGGGGTAGGTTTAGGTGTAGGGTTGGTGTAGGGCAATAGAATATACAGTAGAAAAAGCATTACGTCTATGGAGAGTCCCCACAAGGATAGCAAACCAGACATGAGTGTGTGTGTGTGTGTGTGTGTGTGTGTGTGTGTGTGTGTGTGAGAATATTGTTCACATTCCTACCTTTTTATTCAAAAACTAAAATAACTCTCAGGGTTTTCTCTCACAAATACACAGTGTCCCTAAATTTTTTTTGCACATGTTATATCTGAATGCCATTGCATTATGTAACAAAATATCAAAGCAAGTGGCATCTGTGCTTTTCTGAACCTTTTTGTGCAACTGTTGTTTTGATGAATTAGATTAAGGTAGTTCTTCACATTAAATATGAACATGTTCCATTAATGTCTGACATCTAAAGCTTTAATTAGAACTGTATATCTACAGTTTCTTTTTTCATTTTTGTTCAGACAAAAGTGTGTTTCTGACATCCATTCAAGTGTGAAGTGTCCAAATATGTTTCCGGGCAACACGCTTGCTCTCTCTTCGTACACATACTTATCCTTTACCCTTTCTATTTTTTCATGTCTGTCTCGCTCCCTCTAACCCGTCTGGGCGTGTGGATCCGCCCATGCTTAATTTTTTATCATTTCGTCCTTTCTGAATTTCCTGACTACAAAAGTCTGTCTGACATTGCTCTCTCAGTCTCAGCAGGGGAGCGGGGAATATCTCAAGCCAGCTACACAAAGGGAAAACAGGGGCCCCCATTACTCACCAGGACAGGTCAGTTTGTAAATTCCCAACAACGACTCCTGAAGATTACCATGGGTAGTTTCGCTTTTGAATGCAACCTGAAAGAGGATATAAAGAAAACACGAGATTGTCAGAAACAGGAGGTTGAACATGGTGAGACATGATGAATTGTGATCAAATGCCACTAGAAATACTGTAAACTGGAACTGTAGCTTTACTTGAGAACTTGTAAGTCATTTGTGGGTGTTTTTTTCTTGCCTGTTGAAATTAATTCAGAACTTACTGCACAGGAATATAACAGTCATTCTTGTTTTCTTGGTACGTGCTATTTGGCCTACTACAAAAAATGACTCCATTGCCGGCCGGAGAAGTGGTTTCGCACAAATTCTAGAGGTTATAACTGCTCTGATAGATGTATTTTGTGTACGATGACATAAAGGAATATTGTATGCTTATGTTTGTCTTATTTCTAATTTCTGCGCATTTACACAATGATTTGAGCTCCAGTTTGGATACATTTTTACCTCTTAAAGCAAATTCATAAAGGCTAGTTCTGTCTATTGTTTTTTATTTTTTCTTCTTTGTCTCTCCCTTTGTTTGTTTGTTAAAGGCTTTAAAATAGGAAAAGCCTTTAAAGTTTAAACATCCAGTTTTGCACCGAAATGTATGGCTACTTCTGTATGTGTATATGTGTGTGATTATTACTAATTCTGCAGCTTTGTGTTTTTGATGTTTGTGTTTGAAACTATCGTCTCGTGCAGGGTGAAGTCTTAATATGAATCCGTCATTGTTGCTGTGCTGTGTGCTGCTCTGTTTAGCCTGCTGTGTTATGGTAAACACACACATGATTATGGAGGAACAATACAGCTCCAACCAAACAACCATCAGCTTACAAGCAAATAACCAAACAGATGCACCTTCCGTGCTCATAGTTGGTAAGGCTTCTTTCTCCTACAGAGAAACTATACAAAACAAATGATGATGATTATTAATTATGAACAGTAAAAGGAAATTGCTTAGAAACGGTTAACAGAAACTTCTAGCCAAGTGCTAAGGTTGTTTAATAATTCATATCAGTATCATTCTCCATTTTACACTTCTATACGTTACTAATAGAAACTTTCAACTTGATGTATGTTCAGATTTATTTGTTTTCCGTTATCGAAGGGCTTTCAAAAACACCTAAGAAGAACAAGAAAATGGAAAAGAAACCAAAAAAGGTTTGTAAAGTTAGATGTCATATTCATTTATGGTTACCGCTTTAATACATCAGATTTAATGATGAGAAGCTACAAAAATATTTCAGTTCGGGTGTTTAATTTAGTTTATGGTGATTTAAAATATGTTTAAAACTAGTATGCTGATAATAAAAAATGTACTTTGTAATTTGTCTACTGAATTCTGATTTATGAAAATGCTCTTGCTAGCTTTTTTTGACCACTGTCAAAAATCATGTGACAACTTGACCGAGTTTTGTTCTTTTCGTTTGGAGGACAGAATTCCCCCAAAATATTCTCATTGAAGATTTTAAACCAACATCATAAAACAAGCTTTCGTTTTTTGTTTAATTTCCTATAGCCTACTGAGATAAATGTTATAGAAGTAAGGTCTCTGTCTCTCTGTCTCTGTCTCTGTGTGTGTGTGTGTGTGTGTGTGTGTGTGTGTGTATGTACCTGTTTTTCTATTCTGGTGGGGACTTAAACCTGAATACACACCGAATCGACTCGTGCCACCGTGGAACCTAAACTGAGGTCCTCATGGGGAAACAAGCTTATAAACAGAATAAGGCTTTTTTTTTTTGAGAATGTAAAAATGCAGAAAGTTTTCTGTAGGTGTAGGGCGATAGAATATACGGTTTGTACAGTATTAAAACCATTGAGTTCCCACAAGAAGAGTAAACCAGACGTGTGTGTGTGTGTGTGTGTATATATATATATATACATATATATATATTCCTCTAATGCTTACTTGTGGTGCAGGGCTTTTTCTCAAAAATCAGCCAATGAGTGATTTCACTGCATATGTAATGGTAGGAATAAGGCAAACCTTTGTAAAATCCTTCTATGGAAACAGCAAGACAGCAGGCCTCGTGACAGAAACAAGACTTTGAGATTAAAAGGCATACCTTAAATCAACTTTATAATAAAAAATAAAAAAACTTTATTATAATACATATTATTATCGCTTGTACCTATGCTAGACACATGCATCTTTGGGAAGTTGATGTAACATATCCATGAGTTTATTAGTGGGGACTTAAACCTGAATACACACCGAATCGACTCGTGCCACCGTGGAACCTAAACTGAGGTCCTCATGGGGAAACAAGCTTATAAACAGAATAAGGCTTTTTTTTGAGAATGTAAAAATGCAGAAAGTTTTCTGTAGGTGTAGGGCGATAGAATATACGGTTTGTACAGTATTAAAACCATTGAGTTCCCACAAGAAGAGTAAACCAGACGTGTGTGTGTGTGTGTATATATATATATACATATATATATATTCCTCTAATGCTTACTTGTGGTGCAGGGCTTTTTCTCAAAAATCAGCCAATGAGTGATTTCACTGCATATGTAATGGTAGGAATAAGGCAAACCTTTGTAAAATCCTTCTATGGAAACAGCAAGACAGCAGGCCTCGTGACAGAAACAAGACTTTGAGATTAAAAGGCATACCTTAAATCAACTTTATAATAAAAAATAAAAAAACTTTATTATAATACATATTATTATCGCTTGTACCTATGCTAGACACATGCATCTTTGGGAAGTTGATGTAACATATCCATGAGTTTATTATTATTATTATAATTATTAAAATCAACATGAGGAAAAATGTGTATTTTGAGTACTTCAGTGAAAACAATTTTTTTCCACTTCAGTCCCAATCTGTGACAACCAAGTGAACCATTTCTAAAGTCGTTAATATAAACAATTTCTACATGTAGTCTGTAATTTAATGAAGTCATAAAACTGCATGCATAAAGAAAAATATATATAAAAATGTTAAATGTGTAAATGGTTTTAACTGAAGTTAAGCATGGCACACCACTGAGTATCGCATCCCAAAAGGTCTTAGTTAAAATGTTTTGCTTTAAAGACAACTGATTATGCACAAGATCAAAGTGTAAGGACACCATTTCCAAACACCTCAAAATAATTATTGGTTCAACACGGGTAATAAAACACCCATTTGAACACACGCACAAGGTGACACCAAAGGCTCCAGACGCCACAGCTGGTTCATATTGAAAGGAAGCAATGGGTGAGAGGAGGAGAGGAAAAAGAGAAACTCAAAAAGATAGGCACTTGTTATGTCTCTCAGGGGACACTCTGCAGGCATTTTAGGGGTCCAGTACATCTAATGGCCTACAGACTATTGCTTTACCCCACAAACACTAACTACACCATTTTACCATTTCCAACTAATAAGGGCCAAATTAGATTGAAGCCATCTGTATGGCGGCTTGAATTACTAAGACATTGCTTATCTATGGAATAAACCAGTTTGGGTTCATTAGTTACTCAATGAGACCCAGTACTGATTTTATGGATACAGGCCCGGTCCTGACAGTAGTTCTGCTATTTTTCATGGCTCCTCTCAGACTCTTTGTGTTTCCGACCGCACCGTTACCGGCCTCGTTTTTCATCGGGGAGTTGTCATTGTCACAAGTCTGTCAGTGAATGCCTGAGCATGATGTTTTTTATCAAGGAATCATTACAGGACACAAGTGGAACGGTTTTAACTTCATATGTTTTGGCTTGTGATATGCCATTGAGTTAATGTCATAACTCAAATGCTGTGACGATTCTTGAAATCGCGTCGCATTCTGTTTATCAGAATGGAGATATTGTAAAAATCAAGATCTGCAGGCCAAAATCCTAGTGCAGTAAGTCATTTCAGGCGTATGCGATACGGTTAGTTTACCCTAAAATTCTAGTTGTCATCATTTTCTTATTCAGTGTCATTTTACTTCTCTACAGAAGAAAAAAAAAAGAAGACATTTTGAATGTCAGAGGGGACCAAACAACACTCCAATGGCTTTTAAAAAAAATTGTTACAATTCAAAATATCTTCTTTTTGTGTTCCAGGCAAAATCATACAGTCTTAGAAAAACACGAGATCAAGTAAATGATGATAGTATTGTCATTTTTGGGTGAACTATCCCTTTAAGTTCGCATTAAAGCTTTTTTTACTATTTTTTTTTTAAACGGCCACAAGAATGACTTTAGGTTGCCAAGACGACCTGAAATAAAATTAAGAAACCACATAATTCTGACATTTTACAACAATTATGAAAGGCAAAAAAACTGACAAGGAAAAAAAAAGTGCATATTCAACCCAAACCCTTTTTTTATACATAAATGGTCAACTACAGGAATCATATTGTTCTTTCAATTCTCAAAACATTAGACAACAACTAGAGTTTACATTTACTGAACTAAACGTGAGCAGTGTTTGTCTGTGCGAAACCCACTGCCTTGATGCAGGCTGTTGCTAAGAGTCTTTATAGGGTGTCATGCAGTTACCAGTATTATTTTAGCAACATTTATATACTATGTTGCTAACTATGTTAACTACATTTATATACTATATTTGAATAAGCTTTTAAATTTTTTATTATGAATTTTAATATTAATCAAATCAATAATATACTCATCATATTTAGTAGTTTATTTAGTTTTAATTTATGTTCATTTCGGTTTTGTTTTTAGTAATTATTCTAGTTCGAATTAAACTTGCTTCAGTAAGTTTCAAGTCAATATTTATAATCTTCATTTAAGTTTTTCCATCTAATATATTTTATTTTAGCTTTATTTCAGTTAACAAAAATGATTTTGAAGTGCTTTAGTTAACAATAACACTGGCAGTTACTAGTATGCTCCGTTTGGTTATGGCATTGCTTACTATCCCTCGAGTGGAAAAAAAAGTCCCCCAAATCTCGGTAAGATCCCAAGACAGAGCTAGTGAAGACATTTTTGTCCATTTAATCAATTATCATATTCATTTGAGGAATCATTTATGTCGGTAACAAAACGACTGAAGTTTAATACATGGGCTTAGGCGTTCATTCAGATCCTTAAGCTCATGTATGAGCAATAGCAATATTGATAAATTACTACTCATTTTTCTGGATCTGACCAGGTGAGATCCACAGTCTCTTAATGATGGGCTGAAATGAAGGTTTAACACCTGAACAAGTTACAGTCAAACACCACATTTATTTCATCAGGTCTTCACGAGTGGATGTAATAAAACAGGACAAGCTACCCAGACCCACTCAAACTCACAGCCTGCTAACAGAGAAATGATACTTTTTTCCATAGTGTCATTACTTTGATGGGTTTACAAAAGTATGCATGGCCTAAGCGGGCAAGCCTCGCTCTATTAATAGTTACCTAACAAACTGGAATCACTTCAAAGTAAGACATGGAAGAACCAAACCGTCCCAGCATGTTCATTTATTGAGGGGCATCAAATAACTGACCTAAATGGAAGAATTGTGTTTTAACATAACCGTATAATAAAACAGGGAATGCAAACGAGCAAGTGACAATGTGTTCACAAGTTAGCGTTGCACTCGATATCAATGCAAAAAGGTGTTGGGGAGAGCTCGCAGGCACTCGTGATGAGAGTGAGACACGATTAAGCACTATTATGGCCGTAAAGGTAACTGGCACAGCTGCTAATGATAGTGTAGTCCGTCCTCATCCACAGCTGAAGCTGCGATTGGTCAAAGCTACTTAGTAGCGGTAGTGGTCCGCTTTGAAGGGACCGTCACAGGGCAGACCCAAATATTTGGCTTGCTTCTCTGTCAGTTTAGTCAGTTTGACGCCAAGCTTGTCCAAGTGTGCGGCAGCCACCTCCTCATCCAGCTACACATGCACAAAGGACATAGTGAGGAATAAATACATCTCAAATATTCTGATAATCATCGGTTAAGCTTCCCTGCTTCGATCTGCACCTTGTTTTTAAGTAAGCTTGCAAACCTTTTACACTCTTAAAATCACAAGACATTCATGAAAAATGTGCATATTACTGGACAATACCATCTGTAATAAAAGTCTACACAAAGCTACTGTACCTTCTTTGGCAGGAAGTAAACACCCAGTGGGTATTTGCTGGTGTTGGTCCACAGCTCAATCTGGGCAAGGACCTGGTTGGTGAATGAGTTGCTCATCACAAAGCTCGGATGGCCCATGGCACAGCCCAGGTTGACCAGACGCCCCTCAGCCAAAACGATGATGTGGCGGCCATTTTTCATGCGAAAACGGTCAACCTGTATAAAAGAGCGGAGAGTTAGCCAGAGTCAGATCAGAGTTGACCATCTTGGGTCAGAAAGCAGGGCATTCAAAAGCAAGATTTTGGTGTTTGGTGATGTGTCTGCAAAAAAAAATAAAAAAATCCAAAGTACTGGCTAATCATTCACAATAAGACCTGGACTGTTTATTTAGAAAACAAATGTTGTCAGTTTTGAATTCATGGCATTTTTTCATTTGCATTTGAATTCAAATTTTAAGTAGGATTTCCCAACTAGGGGTTTGTGATGGATTAGCAAGCGAGCAAGCAATGTATTTATTTATAAAAGAACAAACAAACAACACTAGATGAACATTGTGCTGTATAAAAATATATATATGTGCATGTATTAAAAAAATCTATTCAAATGAATAAAACGAATTATAAAGTTAGTGTTTTTAAAAGAAGGCTTCAATTTAGCATATATATATATTTATATATAATATGTGACCCTGCACCACAAAACCAGTCTTAAGTCGCTGGGGTATATTTTTAGTAATAGCCTAAAAAAACATTGTATGGGTCAAAATTATAGATTTTTTCTTTTATGCCAACAATCATTAGGATATTAAGTAAAGATCATGTTCCATGAAGATATTTTGTAAATCTCCTATATCAAATATACTAAATATAGTAATACGCATTGCTAAGAACTTAATTTGGGCAACTTTAAAGGCGATTTTTTATTAAAATCCATTAATAGTTGTATCTCGGCCAAATCCTGTCCTATCTTAACAAACCATACATCAATGGAAAGCATATTTATTCAGCTTTGACCCTTATGACCGATTTTGTGGTCCAGGGTCACACACACACATATATATATATATATATATATATATATATATATATATATATACCTCCACATATCAAGTGCTTATATAAATATATATATATATATATATATATATATATTCCTCCAACATTATGCTTTCTCCTAGGTACTCATTATTAAATTAAATATTTAATTATTAATACATAAAAAACAAATACTGAAAAGTAAAGTAATCTAAAAGTAATCTTTTCCCTAAAATGAACAAATCATGAAATATTATTTCATTAGCATTAGTAAATAATAACAATAAATAAATTTTTATAGCGCCTTTAAAAATTGCTTTCTCAAAGTGCTTCACAACACAAGCAAACACAACAATGAAAAAAAATCGAACAAATTTGCTTCAGTTATGAAAAAAACAATCTTTTGTTGAAAAGTAAAAACTTTCTTTTTTTTTTTTTAAAAAGTACTCTGATCTTTCTCCTAAAACTATTACTAAATCATAAAAATATTTCATTATCATTACTTAATTGCTTCAAATCTAACACTCAAGTCATCAATCTTGCACCTGAGGTTTGATGTTGATTTTCTTCGCTGCATGTTCATTGAGCCACTTCATGTCAATCTCACAGTCAAAGTGGCCAATGTTGCAGACAATAGCATCATCCTTCATCTGCTCAAAGTGTCTGTGAGAAAGAAAAAAAAAACATGATGTTTACACTACCTGACCAACATTTCCAGTTGAGGAACGATTTCAACCAGCTTTTGGCACAAAATTCTGTTCACAAGCAAGTAAAAGCTGAAACAAATCACAAAAAAAAGAAGAAAAAAAGAGAACAATTATCTAGAACAATGGTCAACCAACATTAACTAAATTAGTGATGTTTGCCTTGGCATTTTGAACAAACCGCTAACCGTAATATATTATATTTGACAAGTAACCCATCCTGAATCTTTTATTCCTCAGCCAATGAATGACGCCTCAAATCATGCGGCTTTTTGAGGAGAGGTGGGCAATTAGGTTTCTAAGCAATCAAGGCTGAAGCAAAAATGTAGGTTCAAAATATTTCACCTCAACCATTTCTGGATTGCATTTTCTTAACTGGTGCCAGACAGACATACGCAGATTGCCAGCCTTTAAACATGTACCATCAGCTCTGAAAACTACCAGAGAATCGAAGACAGTTCTCACATCTGTAGATAATACCAAACAGCAGCTGTGCTCCACTGGCCCCTGCATGTCCTCATCCCGACCATTTATCACAGAGGCCCCCACCCCATCAGAACCCACCAGCCCGCTCACCTCTGCATTTAACCGTCAGATAAGCACAGAACTGCGTGCATATGCACACCAAACTCAAGCGAGCGCTGCATAATGTAGCAGGCTCAGGCCAGATCTCACGCTGTGCATGTTTGATTGCAGGTCTGGGGGTCCTTCCCCCGCACATGAATCTCCCTGCCTGCTACGAGCAGAAACCCCACTTCACCATGTTGAAAGGATTCATTGTTGACCAGCTTTCACGCTGTGCCGGATGACATCCTTATAAGCAGTTGGCGTAGTGTGAGAATTCAATTCATGATTTTAGCAAGATGTCCAACTTGTCAGACTGTGTTTGAATGCTGGAGTGTGAACACCATGAGGGTGTAACGTAAATAAATATTAATACACTAACGTTCAAAAGTTTGGTGTCTGTATTTGACAGTGTTTTTGTTTTTTTTTACTCAGCAAGGGTGCATTAAATTGATCAAAAGCGGCATTTTCAACTTTGATAATAATAATAAATGTTTGTTGAGCCGCAACTCAGCATATTAGAACAATTTCTGAAGAATCACGTGACACTTGATGCTGGAATAAATTGCATTTTATATAGTACAGTTATTTTAATAACATTTCACAATATTACTGTTTATACTGAATTTCTGAACACATAAATGTAGACCTGAACTAGAGACTATGTTTAAAACTTTTTGAAGAAAAACTTTTGAACAATATTAATTAGTATAAATAATATTAGTATAATAATAAACTATTATTATGTATCCAACAAATACAGTCTTGGTAAGTATATATATATATATCTTGATTTGTTTACACACACAAGGAATTTGACTTGACGACAGGAGCTTCCAGTGCAGAAGAAAGTACAAACATAGTGCAGACTAGAATTGAATATACATCTAGAATTGATAAGATTATGAAAAGCAGGCATTTGGAGCCAAAACTGCTCTTGCCGAAATAGCTATATGGCTACTAGCAAACATCTTACACTTTGACTTAAGATTACAAACACATTTTTTTCTTTGAAATAACATGCACAAGTGAGCCGTCCACAGTAACCCATAATTTTTACATTACTGAGACAAACTAAGCCTGAGAGGCTAAGGTAATATAAAGACATTAATGTTGCTAGATGCAATAAATTTGATTGAGTAATAACCTGTTGTACCATAAATAATTTTGATTTATTACTTCCCTGTTGAAATCAAAAGTGACCATCATTGGGCAAAAGGCTGCTGACATTGCTACAAGAATCGTTCTTGAAATATGTTCCATCTGGTCCATCATAAACAACTAAAAGTATTATTACGGAACTCGAATTGAAATCAGAAATAAAATTTTCTCAGTTTTTGAGGGGACACTAAAAGCAGTACAACACACATTCTAGCTTGACATCTGATAGTTGGTTCATGTTTGATTAATGCCATACAAACCTGCCAAAGATAATGTCCTCACAGCCAGTGGTGGTCACAAAGATGTTTCCTTCTTTGCAGGCCTCATCCATGGTGGTCACCTCATAGCCTGAGTAACAAGAGTCAAATGCAAGGCAATCAGACAGCCAAAAAAATACAAATAAATAAAATAATCAACTTTTCTGAAACTAGCCTGGCAAGTAGTTACAACAACTTTCCAAAAATAGCTGCTTAAAAATACTGTTGGTTCATAATAGGTTGGTTCATATATATATATAAGTCATGGCCTAATGGTTAGAGAGTCGGACTCATAACCCAAAGGTTGTGGGTTCGAGTCTCGTACCGGCAGGGATTGTAGGGGGGGGGGGGGAATGTACAGCGCTCTCTCCCACCTTCAATACCACGACTAAGGGGCCCTTGAGCAAGGCACCGAACCCCCAACTGCTCCCCGGGCGCCGCAGCAAAAAAATGGCTGCCCACTGCTCCGGGTGTGTGTTCACGGTTTGTGTGTGTTCACTGCTGTGTGTGTGCACTTTGGATGGGTAAATGCAGAGCACTAATTCTGAGTATGGGTCACCATACTTGGCCACATGTCACTTTCATTCATTTTTATATATATATATATTTAATATATATATATTCAGAAATTATTCTAATATGCTAATTTGCCGCTCAAGAAACCTTTCTAATATATACATAGTGTAAGAGATTATTATTTATACTATTACTACTAATAAAGTAGGCTAAATAACAAATAAATATACATTTTATATACAAGCGTCAAAGACGAAAAGCAAAAGATGAAAAGCATCAAAGCAAAAAATAATAATAATAATAAAAAATAAAAAAAAGATTAAAATGCCTTTACATTTTTTTTAATTTATCCTCTTAAATCAGTTTTAATTTTATTTTTCAGGTAAAAAAATAATGACTATCACACATTTTACCATAAAAAAAATCAGTGTAACAACAGTTTGTATAACAAAAATCTTGTCAGTATTATTATTTGATGACATTAATAAGACTTTATTTAAGGATCACAATGCAGCCCCCAAAAACTAATATTAAACTGTCATTTTAAATCTTTATCAGTCTTTGCCACTATCATTCAAACCACTAGGTTTTCCCATTTGTCAGCAAGAAGCTTTTAATCATTTAAAATATAATACAATTTAGTATGATCACTTTATTCTTTTATATATTTTAATAAGTACAGGTCAGAATAAGTATATCGTTTCATTTTTACATTAATATATCGGTTATGCTGAATGAATGATAATGAAACATTACTTATATTTTATTCCCATATTTTGACATTTTATTCTGAAACATTAAAATAGACACTTTACTTGCATTTAATATGCTTTCTATATAAAATCAATTTTGTAAATTCAAATTGATGCAGACACCAAAATGGGGCGAGAAGGAAAGGAATGGAACACACACACACACACACACACACACACAAAACATACCCTCCATAGCCGCCTGCAGAGCATTGATGGGATCGATCTCAGTGACGATGACTCTGGCACCGAACCCTCGCAGGGCTTGAACGCAGCCCTTACCGACGTCACCGTACCCGGCTACCACTGCCACCTTACCGGCAATCATCACATCTGTGGCACGCTTGATGCCGTCAATCAAAGACTCACGGCAGCCGTACAGGTTGTCAAACTTACTCTGAAGGGAGTGGGAGAATAAGTCATTCTCAAATAAATACTTTCATTTACAACAGCCATATAATATTAGAACCAAGCATAAATGCTCACATTTGTCTGTGAACAAAACAGACCATGAAATGATGACAGCGAATAACCGGACAACACCATGTAATGATATTATATTCTGGTAATAAAAGGCTACCTTGGTAACGGAGTCGTTGACATTGATGGCAGGAACTTTCAGTTCCCCTTTCTTCAACATCTTGTAGAGGTTGTGAACTCCTGTGGTGGTCTCCTCAGAGATGCCCTTGATTCCTAAGAGATAAACCACAAAGAAACATTTTGCAAATATTAAAGACCCAGAAAATTCTGCTCAGTGCATCTGATTGGAAGGAATGTTGAACTTACAAGTTAAAAATTAAATTTGTGTAGGTTAGCTTGACCCTCACTGGTGTGACCGAATCAAATCCAAGACCAAGAATGAATCAAATTAATCTTAATCAAGACCGAATCAAATCCAAGAATTAGCTTCAATTCGGCTTCAATGCAACAACAATATACAACGTCAAACTCACTTTAGCCTATATATAAAACATAGAATTTTATTAACAAAACGAATAAAAATACACCATGTTATAGGGCAGGCTATGCCTAATATAAAATAACAAATAACTTACATAAAGTTTAAATAGGTATATAATACTGGAAATGAGTAAACAAGTATAATATATAACCAAATAAATAAGAAACGTAGAACTTTTATTAGCAAAACGAGTAAGAAAGCTTGGAGGCACGGCATACACCTTGATGTCAAATAAAATAAATAAATGACACAGTTTAAATAAAGTAAAAATCAGCAAACACTGTGGAACCAATTAAATAAGAAACGAATGTTTAAAAAAAACGTACAAAATCAACTTAGATAAACGGCAAAAGTCAACAGGCTTTTCATATTTTAAAATACTGCCGAACAGGCACTTTTGCATTTCATTTCGAAACGAAATCATCCGCCATCGTCTTGTCTGTCTCACATCACCTCACTCTTCTTGTCAGTCAGCTGGACTCACTCTCCGCACTGGAGAAATTAAATCTGATCTGTGATGCGACTGTCATACGGCACGCTGCATTGAGTATCCACGTTCAGTTTTTAATTGTAGTGTCTGTTCTTTTGCTGAACTAAATTATTTTTATTACTATAAAAAAAATCTAAACGACAGTGGGGGTCGGTGGGCAAGTGACGTAACCGGTGTTGCTTAGGGTTGGGTATTGAAAACCGGTTCCAAATTTCCAAGAACCGGGTATTCGATAAGACGCGTGCATTTCGATTCTGCTTAACGATTCCTGCATTCGCATTTTAATGTGATTAAAAACTATTTAAGTGCAGGAACGGAAAGAACTTGCGCCCTGTTTGCGTGCAGCGCACACGAAGCGCAAGCGCGAGCACAGAGTAACCACTGTAGAAAAGGTTGTTCCGGCCGAAAACGGACTTCTTTCATATTTGTCGACCAATATGCAGAAAACTACGTCAGTATATCATCATAAACACAGACAGTTTTGCCTGTCATTAATGTTAATCAAAGAACAAAAGAAAATCATTGACTGATCTTGAGTGAATATATTTAATAACTTTAATTGATTAATCTATATTTTATTTATTTATGAAAAGAAAACTATGCAGTTTTTAAACTTTTAATTACAGTTTCTGTACCTGAAATTTTGTTCAGTTGTATTTATTTATGCTATTGCTAATTGATTTGTTTGTTCCCATCTTATTACTGACTGTTTACTTGTCTTTAACACTTTAATATTTGAAATTTATATTAAATCTAGTTGTTTTTGCTGTGGTATTTTTTTTTTTAAAGCATAGGCAAAATTCCTCTTGCAGTGTTCTGTAGGCTGCAGATATTTGCTCGTGTTATTCAGCTGCAACAGAATGCTTTGTAAAAAGACCGAATAAATGTTTGACATCTAAATTTTTTATATATTGGATTTTTTATCTTATTGGAATCGAAACTAGGAATCGGAATCGATAAGCAGAATCGGAATCGATAAAATTCAAACAATACCCAACCCTACCGTCAGCACCGTCTAACGTGGCAAGCCTGATATCCAGTGCCATCTACAGTTCACTACCTGCAGGAATCCATGAGCAAACTGGTTAAAAACGTTGTATTATTTCAACAGTTCTTCAGTTCACAGGCCCCTACATAGGATCAGAGAGCTGACCTTTGTGTTACCAGCCCAGATACTTAACCCTACCAAAGGTCAGAGGTCAAAAAGAGCAGTCTCATAAATCTGACCTATTAAAATTTGACATTTATAGCATAAAACTAACACCACATGTCTTCACTATAGAGTAAAACTAACGTCACGTGACCTCCACTCTCTGTCAAATAAAACAACCAATACCTCTGAATCCTTTTGTGAGTACTATATTATAATGCTTGCTTGCTTTGCTGGGTTAAGAATGGAACAGCTTGATCATAGATTAGCCTGCCTCCTAGTGGCCATTAAACAGCAGTACAATACAACTTAATGAGGAGCATCAGCAGGCCAGAAGTACTGTCATTACTAGCCACAGAAATCCAGACAATGATAGTAACTGAGGCAATGAAATTAAACAGTACTTATACGAGTAGTCTGAATGACTCTTCATGACCTCTGGCTGTTAGGATGAGTGTGAGTAGACAATGACCGAACAAACAGACTACATTATACCTGCAAGCAGTTTGGGGTATTTCGTGTGCACCAAATTGGTCAGGTCTCCACCGTCGTCCAGGATCATGTTGAGAGGCTGACCATCCTTGAAGTAGATGGTCTGCTCTATGCACCACACATACTCTTCATCGGTCTCTCCCTTCCAGGCAAACACTACAATACAGCACAAACAACACACACACACATTAGACACCGATATAAGCATCATAATTGTGTGACTGGCTGCTACAGATATTCCTGAAAAGGATGAACTGGTCACCACTGGGTTTGCAAAGTTTGTGCTTTGTGATTTTATTTTCAAAAATCCTATTTCATATTTACCTGCCTCACATCCCAAAAATATTTACAGATTTAATTTGACATGAATAAATGTAAAGGCAAGTTAAAAAATGTTACAAGTAAATGGTTCTTTGCCCGAGTAAGGTGCAATGTGGAGAGAATGTTGTCAATAGCTGAAAATCTGCTCATTTTAGAACCACAACAAGCTTGAAATAGGTTTGATAGTTTTAATGTGGCATTATTTCCTAGCAGGTAGGGCTGCACCATTATGGCAAAACTGTCGATTATTCCCTTGAAATTGTAATTGCGATTATTAATTACGATTATCACAATTTACATTGAATGATGTTTATACCATTGTTTGATGCAACTGCATGCCATATTTTTATATGAAAATAAACAAGCTGAAAACACTAACTGAAAAACTCTTGCACCGTGTCTACACCGGACGCGAGTGGCGCGGCACGACCCGACAAAATACTATTTTATGCTGTCTACACTGGATGCGGCGCGACAAATTCCCGACAGTAAACTGCTGCTGCGTTCTATTTATGACGTACTGACACAAATTTCAAATGATTTTCAATGGTCTCTTTGTCGCGTCCAGTGTAGACAGACTTTAGCTGTTGCGGCGCGACACGACAACAGTCACGTCCGGTGTAGACACCGTGTTAGTGCTTTTCTATAGTATTAAGCCTCAAATGTCAAATATACATCGGATTGGTTTCTTCTTTAAATTATAAAAAAAGTGAAAATATGAACGCTATTATAATGTTATACTAAAACTAAAACAATGGAAAAACCCTTAAGATAACATGTAGAAAGAAAAAAACATATCTTAAGCGTGCAGAATAACATAAGTGGACTTTGTACGATTAATTGCCGCTTTGAACGATTACGTAATTGTGGCATCCATAATTGTAATTGCGATTAGAAATTTGATTAATTGTGCAGCCCTACTAGCAGGTATAACATTTAGTTGAGAAAATCTGTTACATAAGCAATGGATGCAAGTAACAACCACCTACTGTCATCACTCTAAATCATTGACTGTATAAAAAAAGCTCTAAATGAGATTAATTAGGTTCACATGAAATGCGATAAAGCTGTATTACTTCCAAGTTTGGAAAAGATTAATGCAAAGTCAACCCAATCAATTCAAAAGTTTGGGGTCAGTAATTTTTTTAAATAGATATTTATACTTTTATTCAAAATTAAAAGTGATAGTAAAATATTTATAATGTTACAAAATATTTATATTTCAAATAAATTATGTTCTTTTGAAATTTCTATTCTAAGCATCCTGACATTTTTTTATTAAGAAAATTAAATATACATTTCCAACACTAAGACAAGAATAAGATATGAAATGTTTCTTGAGCAGCAAATCAGTATATTAGAATGATTTTTGAAGGATCATGTGAGACTGAAGACTGGAGTAATGATGCTGAAAACTCAGCTTTGATCACAGGAATAAATTAAATTTTTTTTAAATATTACAATAGAAAATATTTTAAATTGTAATATTGTTTTCACTGCATTTTTGATCAAATATACACAGCTTTAGTGAGCATAAGAGACATTTAAAAAAAAAATATTACGGACCCCCAAGCCTTTAAACAGTAGTGCATGTTATTCATGCTACTGTCACTGAGATATCAGATAATACTGTGCCGTTACATTTTTGCCAATCAAAATAAGTCTGCATTAACACTAATTCAAACTTATAAGCTGCATCTGGAATTTAGTCTAAAAAAAAAACCAATGTATAAAGGTCTAAATAAATTTCCTAATATAACTAAATAGTGAACTAGTGAGCAGAATTCTAATGCATTACAGTCATGACACGAAAGCGATTACAACTGGCTGTCAGCATAATTATGCCGCTAACTAAAATACCTTCTTAAGGCCAAGTTCTTAGGCAGCACTGCACTTAGGCTTATCCTTTGTGGAGAGGGCAATCTCATAATGCACTGTGATCAGAGAAAAACAAATCCATCCAAGACAGCAGACAAAGCGAGCGACATGTCAATTATAAATATATTTAGAATTCATTCTATACTTAAAAGTATTGACAAATAATTGAATCTACCTAAAAACAGATCGAATTAATTAGGGATGCACCGATATGAAAATTTTGCCCGATACCGATAACCGATAATCCTTTATTTTTGAAAGCCGATAACCGAAATGTTGGCCGATAAATCTATATTCAAATTTTTATATACTGTTTGAGAGCCTGATTACAAAAAATGTCTCATCATTAAAAACCACATCCCGAACACTTCAACATAAGCAGCCTAGTTTGAACGGTGTATGTTTTAAAAATAATTTTACTTTCCCATTACCAAATTTAGTCATAAAAAAGTCTTACAAATAAAATAATGCATAAATAATGCAAACAAGTCATTGGACATCATTACACGTGTAAAGAATCAAAATGAATGCGCCATAGATCAATAAAACGGAATAGCCTCTGCACGGACAATAATTAAATGATTTTAATTACTAAACCATATTGCTGATGAAAATAATAATAGAAAAATACAAGTGGTTGTTATTATTAATAATGTATCAATGATTTTGAAAAAGTAACAAATTAATACCACTGTTTTAAATAGCAGCCGTTTGAGCTGCACGTGCTGAAGCTGAAGAGCTGAATGAACATGGTAAACTGAAGCGTTTTGCTGGCAGCTTATTTAATTCAAGGAAATGCATCCTGAGATTAATATTAATACCACATAAACATAATATTACAACTTATATATGTACAAAATTATGCAGTTATTGCGTGCTATAGTCAGAATGTGTGATCCTGTTGTGGATGCGCTCTTCCCATAACAACGCGCTGAAACACGGCAACTAAACCCATAGAATTCACAATGTTTTATTATAATAATTTTCTCATTAGAATGTTATATACACGACATTCCCAATCATAGTTATTAATGTTGTGCACTGCTGTTTGAGTTTATCACTGGTAAACTGAAGCGCTCTTTTAACTTAACCAAATGCATTCTATGTGAGATAAATCAGATATACATCATATATAAACACAATATTACAACGTACAATTGCACAAAAGGCTGCAAACGAACAGCGCGCATCTGAAGTGTCTCTGAAGGAAATAATGCATTATTTATCGGCTTTAAGATATCGGCCAAATTTTCTTATTGGGCCGATACCGATAACAGAAAAAATGAGCATTTATCGGCCGATACCGATATGGTGGCCGATATATCGTGCATCCCTAGAATTAATGTGTTATTACAATATTATGTGTATGTTGTGCTAATTGGAGCATTGAAGCCGCTGCCTAAGAAGAGACTTAAAATAGGCATTTTACATGTGAAACCGGAAAAGCACAGGCTAAAAATCGGTTTGATGTTGTCAGACAAATGTTTTCGCAATCTTTTATAAAAGGTTGAACATTTTTACCACTAAAAACCATTTAGCTTGTATCCCTTGCAAGGTTTCAGTGCTTAAAAACTGCTTGGGAAAAGTCTTTCATCAACCGAAAGCTGGAATGATGAAGCTGATAAAGTTGAACACTCTTGCATGTTAGTCCTTCAAAAATCTAAAGAATAAACCCATTTGTGCTGATTCTAGGTTTACCCAGCATGGAGCACTCGGAGTTCTCCTTATCTAGATTTGATTACGCAGCTTTAGAGCAAACAGTGGGCAGGATTACAGCAGTCTAGCACACCAACACCTGTTACCTGGAACGCCAGATTTAGCAATGGCTGCTGCTGCGTGATCCTGCGTAGAGAAGATGTTACAGCTGGACCACTGGACCTGGAGCACACAGAGATCAAGGAGAAGGAATGAGATCATGTGACTTGTACAGACTTCATTCATTAGTTTCATAACCTTTTGGATAAAATATGGCCTTGGGCTGGGAAATTCCAGTTTGACAGAGGAAATAGGGGATAAGAAGAACGATGCATTCGAGTCAGACAGCAGGGTTAGCCATCTAGTAGTAGGAAAAATGTGAAGAAACGCTACTCTCCCTTTCCAAACAAAGTACTGTGGTAATACCATGATAAAATTATGGAATAATGTTGTAATAATATGAAACATTGTATTTATGTTTCAAAGAATACCATGGCATACAGGGTCAGTAAGATTTTTAAAAAACGTTTAAAAAAAAAAAAAAACTAATGCTCTCCAAGACTGCATTTTTTAATCAAAAATATCGTAAATATTGTGAAATATTAATACAACTTAAAATAACTGTTTCCAATTGTAATCTACTTTAAAATGTAATTTATTCCTGTGATGCAAAGCTGAATTTTCAGCATAATTACTCCAGTCTTCAGTGTCACATGATCTTTCTGAAATCATTCTAATATGCTGATTTGCTGTTCAAGGAACATTTCTTATGATTATCAATGTTGCAAACAGTTGTGCTGCTTCATGTCCCCCCCCAAAAAAAAACATGACTTTTTTTCTCAGGATTCTTTGATGAACAGAAAGTTTTAAAAAAAAAGTATTTATATGAAATACTAATAAAATAGTAAAATTTTTTATCTATTTCAACAAGAAAAAGCTACTGACACAGAAAACCATATAGCAACACCATTACTTTTTGTTAGTAGCAGCAAAGAAGTACTACACGTTCAGTAATTGCTGAATTAAAAAAATGTAAACCCTACTTTTAATGGTTTTAAAGTAATATTCCACTCCAAAATGAAAATTCTGTCATTATTTACTCAAAAGGAGAATTTTAAAGCAGCTATTGAGAATTTGATGACATTTTAAAGACTGCTAATGCAGTTCTTTTCCATACCAAGACAGTACATAATCTAATAACAACAAGCCTAGCGCAAAATGCTATTTTTTAGTGCAGATATAAATTCCTTTTTTGAGTAATAACTATTTCTTTAATGGTTTTGCATTTGCATCCTCACCTCAGCTCCGAGGGCGGTCAGGGTTTCAATGAGCACAGCGGTCTGTAGAGTCATGTGCAGGCAGCCTGCGATGCGAGAGCCCTTCAGGGGTTTGGTCTGGCCATAGAGCTCCCTCATCTTCATCAGACCCGGCATCTCATTCTCGGCTATGTCGATGGCTTTACGTCCCCACTCAGCCAGGCTGATGTCAGCTGAACAGGGAGAAAATTACAACAGATTATGCATAAAACAATTCAGCAAACGGAAAGAATGATTCAATTAAATAGTCAAACTAGTACAGATTGTCTAAACTTTTTCACAAGCATTTGAGAGCACAGTTAAATAATAACTACAAATCCCAAGAAACATACATGTCCAATATGACATGCAAGTTAAAGCAGTCTTTGAGGTGTCAGTCTCATATTTTGACATCTAGAATAGGAATTCAACAGATGACACCTAAAACCACATACCTAACATGTCTTGAACTGGTTGAGGAGATGGTGCTTGGTTTCTTAGCATGCACACTTGCTAAGATATATGCACACTTAGCAACCAATAGGCAACCCAAAATATATTAATTTCTCAGTATGCACTGATTATAATTAATTACCAGGGATATTACAACTGCAAACATGGAGGAAAACACATCTGCCATAATATTCAGCAGCCAAACAAATATGTAATTACAAAAAAATGTACATTTTTGACAGTGACCACTAACCTACAACAAGATCAGGGCAACATTTCACAGTATTTGTTTAGTTTAACATGAAGATGCTGTTTTAGCCAAATGAATTTCCCATTTCCATGACTTAAATGTTACTAATTCCCATAATTTCCCCACTACTATTACTTCCAGGTTTTCCAATGAGCATGGAAACCTTGTAATGTGCCTTCAGAATGGGCTATTAATAAATAAGTGTGCACTTTGACATTTCATTCACTGATTTGGAAAAACTGAACTCTGATCTCCTAAGACTAGGGAGCAAAGTCCAGCTGGATTTACTAATGAATTACTTGTGTCTTATCTGCACCAGACGGTCACCATAACTGTGCTGACGTGTGAATAAACGCGACGCAAAAACAACAGAGAAGATATGAACGTAGTGCGTTTAATTTTGTCTTAACTCAAGGTACAGCTTTTAAGTGCATGGTATTCATTTTTGGGCAACCCCGGGCAGAGGAACAGTGTTGGCAACTAATTTTCAGAGAAAGTTGCTAAAGGAAGGTCGATTTGTTGCTAAATGACGTTGTGATGTCATTGCTCAATGACGTCATTGCGTAATCACGACGCAAAATTGTCACATCATCAAACCTCAGCAAAAAATATATTTTATATATGTTAATTTAGATTTGTTTTTAAAATAATATGCATGATATAATATTAAAATATAAATAACTGTATTTTTAAATGCATTGAATTATTGAAAACGTACACATTTTTAAATGATTAAAATTTACGTTTTTTTAGTAGCTCGTAAACTCTACACATTCTCAACAATTATGCTTTAAGCAGTGTATTAGTAGTTAGTTAGTATGCTACACTCTAAGAAAAGTCTGTAAAAATAAGGCACAATCTACTGTTAATATGAAAGAATTTTCCGTAATGGTTTTTTTACCTGTATTTTAAATTACGCATTGTGTTTTCGGGTTACAGGGTTACAAAGGATGATGGATAATGGATAATGTCCTGAAAGATTTCCATTGTTCTTACAGTGTACTAACTGATCAACAATCGCAGGTACAAGCTACTAACAAAGTGTATCATAAATGAACAATTATTCAATTATCAAATTATTCAATTATTATTATTATTAAATTGAACAATTGCAAATAGCAGCTAACTCAATTCTCGTGATGTGTGTACTGCTAGGCATCTGTGGTTTCCTCTTTTTGTGTAATTTGGATGGACAATGTGTGCCTTTTTATTGTCGGAGTCCTTATCAAAAGTTGCTAAAAGTTGCCAAATAAATGTTTAAAATTGCTAAATTTGTTGCTAGGTGCTTTTGGAAGAAAAAGTTGCTAGGGTAGTCTGAAAAGTTGCTCAATTTAGCAACAAAATTGCTAAGTTCACAAGACTGCAGAGGAACCGTTCTTTTGAGCTGGACCTTTTCAATGAATCGACTGATTCACAAAACCATTTGGAGTGAGCCGAGGGTTTCACTGAGAAGAACTGGAAATGTGTTTAGGACGTTTAGTAGCATGCAAACGAAACGTAGCTAGTTTTATTAAAAAGTAAACGGTGCAAATACTTTTCAGTCAGTAGATAAATAAATTAATCAGCCCGTAAATTAAGTTTAATGTTGTTTAATGTATATGCAAATCACATTTAGGCTCTAAATGACTATGTTCTGACTGAGATTTATAAAATTGCTATTAACAGTTATTAATAAAACATGACTGAAAAACCTTATTAGACAGCAATATTTTCAAACGTGTAAAAAAAAAAAAAAAAAAAAAGTTTTTTTTTAACGTTTTTTATTTTTATTTTATTGATTTCCAACATGTAATATAAAGGTACTGAACAAATATAAACTACAAAAAAGAAATAGAAAATATACAGTATTATATAAATAATAATACAGGTAAAAATAAATAAATAAAAATAATAATAATGAAGAAAAATTTTTTTTTTTTAAATAAACAGAAAAAAGAACAGGTATGAGATCATAATATAAATAACAGAAACGCTTCACAAAGAGTCTTTATTTGAACGTTGAAAAGAGTCAGGGTCCACGTGATGACGTAAAGAGCAGCTGAGCCATTTTATGAACCAAACGAACTGTTCAAAAGAACCGATTCGCAAAAGTGAACGACTACGATCAACGAAAAGTGGCGGCTCGTTCGACTACTGCATTATGGGAAATGTAGTCCAGCAGTGCAGGATCTCTCATACGGAGGAGATTCTACAGTGCACGCAAAAAACTACAACTTCCAAACTTTCTTCTTCACGTCTCCCGAATGGAACCACGCTAGCTTGTTTGACAGGTGTTAGATATAAAATCATATATACTACTTTGTGAATAACCATGAAATGGCTGTAATAATACACTAGACATATTAAGTGCGCAAACAGTGACTTTATGGGGGTGGGTTCGCAAGGTAGCGTTGACAATGACGCCTCCACTGCCATGTGATACAGAAGCACTAGCAACTGAAGGTCTGCAACAATCCATGCTCGCTCAAAAATACAACCCAACACCCTTTCGCAGAGAATCTGATAGTTCATAGAGAATCTATTAAGAGAGATTATTAGAAAGAAATCGTCAGAGTGGAATCAGCTAATTAGCATTGGCGGTAAAAACATGATTGCATGATTTTGTAACAGCATCGAGCATGGTCTAAAGTCAATAATCAAATAAACTTATACTAACCAACTTTGAATGGAAGCTTCTCTGACATTTTGATGTGCTGTCGTTAGGTAAGCCTGCTATGGGTTGGTCTTGAGCCCTGCTGTGGACCCGAGAGAGTGCAGAAGGAGGTAACTTCTTATGTGAACTTGAATATAAGCGTGAACAAACCGGTTGTTGTAATATTCATGAGATCATGCCGCCTCTCGTTTCTCATTGGCCGACATATATCCCGCCTTATCGCTCTAAATAAACCATCGTGGGCGTGTTCATTTGATCCTACGATAGCCAATGAGAATCCACGGTGGTTAAAGGTTTGTAATATCATTTGGAATGTGGAGATCTCGGTTAATATACCAGTAGGTAACAAGTTTCAACTTGCTTTTGTGTGTTACTAATATTTAACATCATGAGGACGGATCTGAGCTTGTGAGAAGAAAGGTGCTTTTTAAAATAAATATTTCAATTTAAAACGAGTTTAAAAAACAGAATATGTTGACAAAACAAGCTTGAGTTGCTTTCCATTAGAAACAAAGCAATAAATCCCAATAAATTAGAGTCATTATGAACAGTAGCAGTTGCACGGGGGTTATCTTGGGTTATTTGGATAACACTAGGGCTGTACAAAGTCCATTCAATATGTCCTGAAAATATGCCCCATGTTTATCCCCATATGTGAAAATTGTCTGGTTTGTGGTTTTGTGTGAAACTAAACCTGAAAGACTTAAGATTTGCATATCATTGACGGATTTACTGAACACCCTGTCAATCATAAAATTATTAAATGTTTTAGTGAACAATATAAGGTCAGAATCGTGCAGCTGACTTTAAATGTTGAGGTAGATTATTACTTAAACTAAGTTTGGGGTTGGCAATATTTTTTATGCTTTTTGAAAGTCTCATGATCACAAACAGTACATTTATTTGTTCAGAAATACAGTCAATTTAAAGTAACTATTTTTATTGGAATATTTTAAAATGCCATTTATTCCATGCAAGTTCGTACTGTGCTGAAGCCTCATTTTGGTTCATGTACGAGGACCACCAGAAACTCAGTCAAAATATTTTAATAACAATAATAGAGATTATAACGATAATGATATAACAATGATAAATCCAGCACCTACAAGATAATGACAACATACAAATGTATTAAAGCTTCGTCTTTCACATTCTGTACAAATCAGTTTGCATTACTACAGATCATAGCATGTTGCTTCACAATCTTCATTTTCCTTTCCATAGCAAGAAAGAAACAGAAAAGCACCATCATGTATTCCATTGACGTCTCTGAAAGATTACTGACTGTATGCATGTAATGGACCGGTGGGTATTTTTAAATAAAAAGTATACTCTCTGTCCTCCTGCCTGGACACTATTTCTACAAACTCATGTTCAATATTCAGTAGACAAAAACACATGTTCAAGGTGAGCACTGATGCTTTGAAGTGCATAAATAAAGAAATATTAGGCAAATAATGGAAAGAAACATTTAATGCGCAATTCCAAATCCAGAGAGGTGTTAAATTTGGCAAAACTTTAATGTAGGTGTAAGGTTGAAAGGCATAAATGAGAGTGTCAAAAAGACAAACAAACAATAAACAACATGAATGAAACGTTCCGAGCTGGATAAATAAACATAGTTATGCGTTTAGTGTTTCTTTCACATCTCAATATTCAATACGCAAATGTTTTATAGACTCTCAGGAGAGGAAAATGAATAAAACCAGAGCCTCATAATAGTGCACTCTGTAAAACCTATTTACAGCTATTCCATATAAGAATCCCATTCTGTCAGGAGACCGTAAACCGTCATGCCATTAAAGAAAGATGCAAGGTACAGTAAAAGTCTTACTGTTGCAGCAGCACTCAAACGTGAGGTGGATCCTCAAACCTTCATGCCCACCCCAGTCCCGAAACGGAGAGTAAGTCTTGTACTCATAAAGCCTAAGTGCTGATATAGGACGTCCCGTGGGCACTACAGATATTGGACGTGGGAAGCACCTGTACTGAAATGCTCGATGCACGGAATCAAACGGGGCTTATAGTGCTTTTAACAGAACTTGTGAACAAATGAATTAGTAATATATACCACATGTTCTCTCCAAAAACACGACAGATCGTTACAGACGCTTTCCCCTGCGTGCAAAGGCTTTCTGGTTTCTCGGACCAAGCGGAGGATTCCTTGTGATGGAACTTTGAAAATGTATGACTACTTATACAGGCAATGGAGTGCCAAACACAGATCTACAACAAGCCTTTTTCGTGTCTGAACAATCCAGAGATGAGGAGAAATGAGGCAAAATCTCAGACTTTCTTAGATGAGTGTGTTGACAGTAAGCCTAGCGGAGATTTATAATCTTTTTTGAGCAGTTGCATTCATGTATTTGTTTGCCTCTCGTGTGTGTTTATATATTAACCTATTTTAGACACAAAGACGTCATACTGTAACAAACTGAAGAGTCCTTCCAGGTCCTTTAGTAACGGGTATCTTGGTGAGGTTTAGTGTGTATGGGTTTCGGGGAGCATTAATTGGCAGCCCACGCCTCCAGGTCTTTCATGTCATCCTCATCCTCTTCTTCTTTCTTCTTTGCTGCAATCACAAAAGACATTCAAGAACTGCATTTTATACAAGGCCATTATAATCACATTTGCAGGAGTCTGAAAGAGCGATTTGCAGCATCAAAACGACCAGAACCTACTTAATATGCCATGATTTGAATCATATACATAATATTAGTAACATGTGAAGTAACATCTTACTGATTGAATTTACAATGTAATACTAAGGTTATGATTGTCAAAAAAAGTTTTTCAAATAAGTTATGTTTACAAACAATTTCAACTATTAAATCACATACACTATTTTTCAAAGTAAATAAAACAACAATCATAGTAGGTTTGGTAAGAAAATACAATAACACTTTACTTAAAGCCTTTGAATATATTAATTATAAAAGTAGTATTATGCCTTGTAATGCAACTTATAATGAACTGTATGATCTCATGAATAATTGTGACCATATTTATAATACTTATCTATTCAATGTTACACCTTTAGAAAGTATAATGCATAAAAACACATCACAAACAAACCATTACATATTATAATGCATTTTAACTTTAGTTAATTATTTATAAATATACATAATGCATTACAACCTACATTATGAATACCTTTATAATGCATTATACATAAAGGCTTTAATTAAAGCGTTACCTAAAATATATTAAAAAAAAATTTACATAAAATTTTTGTTCCATTCAATTTACTAGCAATTTCTAAGTAAAAATAGTTTCTACACCACATTTCTTTCAGCATCGGCTTATGCATGTCACACAGTCCAAAAACTTGAACTAAAACTAGAAAAACTAGAACGGTCTAAAACAAAACTAGACGATATCAGGAGACTTATGTTTCCAAACACCACATGTACGTGTGCGTGCGTGTGCGTGTGTTTAGTACCTGGTCTGGCAGGTAAGGATGTAGAGGGCACGTTTGGCAGTGGTACATTGTCTCCGATCTCCAGAAGGTTCTTATCCAACTCTTCCTGCTCCAGCTCCTCAAGTTCAGCTAACAGCTCATCCTGAAACAACACAACATCTGTTTATACCCAGTATTAACATGCATCTCAAATGTGATGTACATATGTATGTACATCAGTTAATACACTACTAGTCAAAGGTTTGAGATGATTAATATATATACGAATACATAATACTACTACTATAATACTAATAATGCTATAATACTAATATATAATAATATTTTTATTTGGGAAGGATGCATTAAATTGATCAAAAGTGACAATAAAGACATTTATAGTGTTGTCAAAATGTTCTTCTTTTGAACTTTCAGTGGGGAAGTCGTGGCCTAATGGTTAGAGAGTTGGACTCGTAACCCAAGGTTGCAGGTTCGAGTCTCGTACCGGCAGGGATTGTGGGTGGGGGGAGTGAATGTACAGCACTCTCTTCCACCTTCAATACCACGACTGAGGTGCCCTTGAGCAAGGCACCGAACCCCCAACTGCTCCGGGTGTGTGTTCACTGCTGTGTGTGTTCACTGCTGTGTGTGTGCACTTAGGATGGGTTAAATGCAGTGCACTAATTCCTAGTATGGGTCACCATACTTGGCCACATGTCACTTCACACTTCACACTTCTATTAAAGAATCCTGAAAAAAAACAAAATGTATCACGGTGTCCACAAAAATGTTAAGCAGCACAACTGTTTTGAACATTGATAATAACGAGAAATGTTTCTTGAGCGGCATATCAGCATATTAGAATTATTTCTGAAGGATCGTGTGACACTGGAAAAATGGAAAATTCAGCTTTGCCATCATAGAAATAATTGCATTTTAAAACATCTTAAAATACCAGACAGTTATTTTCTTGTTTGGTTCGATTGAATCAAACTCAAGTTTGTTTCCCCACTTGGTGCGGCTCTTTTAGGCAGGTGTGAATACAGCAATCGCACTCGGGTGCGGACCAAACAACCGGACTGAGACCCAGCTGAAGAGGTCCAAACGAACTCTGGTACGCTTGAGAATTTCTGTCCAAAGAATGGATGACATTTAGCACACATGTGGTTTTGTTTACAATTTCTGGTTCACTTGCAAAAAGGATAGTGTGAAAGCGAACCACACCAAACAAAAAAAAATCAACATTGTATTTGGTCCGGACCAAAGCAAGTGAACTAGTGGACTTTCCTGGTGTGAATACACCCTGAAATTGTAACAATATTTCACAATATTACTGTTTTATATTAAAAAACGAATTTACCAACCCCAAACATTTTGGGACTTTTTTCCTCGAATTAAGCTGCACCTAACAGGTTTAAAACGTTTCTTTGGCACAAATATTGTGTGTTTAATCTTTTGATGTTGTTGTATGAGCATTTATAACACAAATGCGAGTGATGATATGCCTTCCTGAGCACCTCACAGATGCACATGTCCCATTTAGTCCTGTATTCAGTGCTGTCCACTTGTGATCGGTTCACCCGAGGCAGACGTTAACAGCGGGTGTAAACGGCACCTTTGTGAAAGCACATGGAAATCTCCCAAAAACTCAGCAGGTGAAGCATCATCATGGCTGTGGAGTTTGCTTGTTTTAATCTTACCTCATCAAATTCCTCCCCAAACACAACAGGCTTTGAGATTGCGTCTGACATTTCTTGTGCCAGCTCCTGCTGTTCTGTGATGTCCTGCATAAGTTCGTCCACTTTGTCAATGTCCCTGAAAGTACACAGGCAGGATATAGAACCATAACTTTATGATACCCTGCAAATATATTAACACATAATTTAGATAGATCCCATGTCAAAGTACCATACAGAATCCCATTAGCTAGCTAAACTTGTTTATGATCTCATAAACCCAACACCTTGCTGCATTGCCAGGCTGATAGAGACAAAAAGGGACGAAAACACTGATAATAGAAGAGAAGCTCCTCACATGTTGTCATGGGCAGCTTTCATGGCCTTGGCAGCAAAGCCCATATTCTTGATGACCTCGGTGTTGGTGTGAGCGTTCTCTAGCGCATCCCGCTGGAACTCAATGGTAGAAAGGGTGCCATCAATCTGAGCTAACTGCTTCTCATAGCGCTTCTTACGCTTCAGTGCCTGCAATGCAGCTGTTACAAACAGAATGAAAGGTGAATGTGATTAAAGTGCAAAATAAGAGAATTCTGGAACCCTCTAGAAAAGTATTGCATAATATTAAGTGTGGATTTATTTAAAAGAGTTAAAGAGAACACTATGTGATTATGAGTGAGTTGATTTAATTTCAATTAAGATTTAGCTCGGTAAGCCTCATGCACTTAGCTAAGCATCATGCACTCTCAGTCCTGCTGTTACACAGTAACCCAGTAATGTAGTACTGTCAAGGTGTTTTTGTAAGAAAGTGTTTGCATGGAAAATAAATACAGTAAAGGAAAGATGGTAAGATTCTCAAAACTAAATTAAAATTATGAGGTCTCTGATCTGATTTGATTAGGGTTTTACTTTGAAAAGTAAAGTCTACTACTGTTAATATTTCTCAGGGAAGCAGTGGTGCAGAGTTAGGGACTCCTAAATGAGGCACACTCACCAAACTTAATCAGGCAAGTGAGCTGTATAAAAAAAAAAAAAAAGGAGAGACAGAAACCCTGTTGCACTGTAGGGAGAATGCTGTTGGCAGCCTAATGGTGCATTACTGACAAGCACATCAGTACAGACATGCTTTTCTTGTAAAGTGTGAATTCTACAAAGCTTGTCAAGAATGTAACCAGGACAAAAAAGGCAACAAGTCAGTAAAGCAAATTTTAGGACCATTATGATGCATTTGTAGTTTAACTTTTTTCTCAACCATAAGAAAAGTATTATTTCCATGTTTATAAGCAACTAAAACTAAAACCATTAAAAACATTTTCTCGAAAAAAAAAAAAAAACATTAACTGAACTAAAATAAAATATTTTTTAAAAAGTTAAATTCATTTGATCTCAGCTAGTTGCCATTTTTGTTTAGTTTAAGTAACTAAACGAAAATGGAAACAACTAACACCAAGTAAAAATGGCAGTAACTAAAACTAAGTAAACTAAAACTTACAGCTAAAACATATTCAAAACTATAGACCTATTTAAAAAAAATAATAATAATAAAATTATAAGTCATGGTAGTAGTTGCCTTTCATTTATCCATATTTAAATTTTTTGAAAAATCAGAAGGACATTGGAAAAATAGATTTGAAACAGATGTCATAATGGAGAAAAAAAAACATTATGGTCTAATAAAACACAATAAAAGTATTTTTCAGACTATGTTCTTTGTGAGAATCACCTATAAATTGTCAGTATACCAAAACACAGATTTGAATTTTAAACACTGACAAAACATTGATTTGAGTTGTCAATTTACATGTAGAAGATAAAACAGCAGCTGTGTTTGTGCAATGTATGGAACGTAACTTTAATTTATCAGGTGTGCAATACAATAAAACCCTCACCAGACTCTTACGTCATGTGCACGTTCAAAAGGGCCATTCCAAAGACGTCACTTGACACAAAGGTCATGCAAATTAAACACTTTTTCCATGAAGGCACTAGAAATGTAAACTATGACACCTAAAAAACCTGTAGCAGTCATACCATTAGCGTCGTCATGCATCGTGTCCCAGCAGCTCTCATAGGATAATCAGATCAATTATTGATTACCTCTGTTCTCGGGACTTTAAATGTGGAGTTGTATTACAGGCTTCACAACCTAGACGGCTCTTTAATGTGGTCCTTATGTTGCCCTGAAATAATTGATGGAGTTAATTCTGGATTTGGACAACTCTAGTAGTATCGATGGGACAGAAAAAAACAGACTTATAAATATACTTTTTGTAATTGCATTTACATCATAATATTCGCAAGGCCTGGAAGTGGCATTAGAAACCATGACAAAGCAGGAGTTTAAAACAACATGTTTTTTCCAAGTTTTGAGAAGATGTATTTAGTTCAGTGACAGTCAAATACAGAACAAAAAAAGCACAGAGCATTCAGAGAATGTCAAATGAAGAAGAAAAACTATTTTTTTTAAACAATAATAATAAAAAAAACATACAAACATTTGAACAGTTAAATTAAAAGATTAAATTTTGACATTGTTTTCTTATTTTGTGTTCTTTTTATGTTTAAAAGGGTTTCAAAGTATATCTTATCACTGTTATAGAAGGTAATATATGAGTTAAGTTATTCTCGACTTGGGAATGTACAATTTCACTAAAATTACTGAAAGAGAAAGGGCCATACAAAAAAAAGTTCAATATCTTCAACTGATGTGTTGCAAAAAGTACATTTATCACACTGAGTATGGATACATCTACTAAAGGCTGCATTTGCCAGATAACATCAGTGAACCGTTTATTTCCTTTATTTTGTTCCCTGAGTCAATCAACATGATGTACATGTTTGTCATCACCATGGATACCACAGAAGGTCAAAGGTGAACTGATGGAGAGCTACAACACTGTATCCGTTTATTCCAAGCATCCTAAAAGATTTTAACATGTTACAAAGCAAATTATCGTCCTAAACCCCCATATCATTCCAGATCCCATTTTATATAACATCTCTTAAAGACCAGTGTTGGGGGTAACGCATTATAAGTAACGTGAGTTACGTAATCAGATTACTTTTTTTAAGTAACTAGTAAAGTAACGCATTACTTTTTAATTTACAAGAGAATATCGGAGTTACTTTTTTTTCCAATTTATTGACTGACAGCTCTCCTGTCCCCATGTTGAGAGAAATCAGATGTTACTGTAGTTCTAAAATAAATATGAATATGCATTAATTCATCTCACTCCCCAAAAAAAAAAACACAGGTTCAGTATTCCTCAAAATGAATTAAAAAAATGCAACTCAGAATATGACGCAAACCTGCAATACTTAAATGCTAAACAACACAAATATCCTTTATGTATCTAATCCCATTCTATTAAGCAATGTCTTTGCTTCTGTGCTTCGATGATCCAGTTCAATCATACTAATAAGCACAAGTAACTCTAGACAAACATTTGTGTGTTTTTGTATTGCTGAAGTGTGTTGAAATTTCTTCTTCTGCATTCTACTGTACGGATGTAAATTTACATTTCCTTCAGCCGGAGGCTTATTCATTTCACTTTTGGTGTGAAAGGCTTTTATATTTGCCAAAAACAGAACTTTTATATTTTAAAAATAAACAAGCAAGCCCTGTCCCGATTTTAAAAGTAACGCTAAAGTAACGTAACGCATTACGGTCCGTAAAAAAGTAACGTGATTAGTTACTTTATGGAGTAACGCAATATATTGTAATGCATTACTTTTAAAAGTAACTTTCCCCAACACTGGATGATCCAGTTCAATCATACTAATAAGCACAAATTAGTAACTCTAGACAAACATTTGTGTGTTTTTGTATTGCTGAAGTGTGTTGAAATTTCTTCTTCTGCATTCTACTGTACGGATGTAAATTTACATTTCCTTCAGCCGGAGGCTTATTCATTTCACTTTTGGTGTGAAAAGGCTTTTATATTTGCCAAAAACAGAACTTTTATATTTTAAAAATAAACAAGCAAGCCCTGTCCCGATTTTAAAAGTAACGCAAAAGTAACGTAACGCATTACGGTCCGTAAAAAAGTAACGTGATTAGTTACTTTATGGAGTAACGCAATATATTGTAATGCATTACTTTTAAAAGTAACTTTCCCCAACACTGTTAAAGACCGAGCTTGTGTTTTAGTAAATGTCTTAACGTTACTCTTGTTAATTAGTCCGTTAATTATATTATTTCAGTTACAATATGCTTTCTTTAATGAATTCCTATGTATAATAGGCAACATACAAAAATACAAATAAACTAACAAGCACGAGAAACAGTAACAAGCACAGTGCCTGAGTTACGCAGGGAAGCCCGCTCGTCGCTCACCTCTTTTGTTCTTCGTGCCGTTTCTCTTGGCCGTCACGAGCTCCTGCTCGATCTTCTTCTCCAGGAATTCTTGTTTCTTGGTCAACATTTCTTCTGTTTCTCGCAGTCGCTGAATAGCCTCTTGGGGGCTTGGATATTTGCCCCCTTTTCCACTGCTACCAAACAACTTCCCAAACAAAGACATCTTGCCCTCGGAACGACAGCGAATGGTGATATTAGACTGACTTGTGGACTGCTAGTCTAGACTGGTCAGCTCGGTGTGGCTTCTATCTGTCACTGCCCCAGCAGGCTTGTTGTTGTTTTCTCCTCTTCCTCCTCTCTAACCCAGGCCGCATGACATCGAGTGAGGTCACAGGAACACGACTCACGTCATGACGCATCGAACGTCGTCTTTCTTCTTCTTCTTCTTCTTCTTCTTCTTGGTTTTATGGCGAGTTGCAATCTTTGCGCATATCGCCACCTACTGTGCTATTGTGCAATCAGGATTTTCAGAATCAGAATCAGAATGAGCTTTATTGCCAGGCATGTTTACACGTACGAGGAATTTGTTTTCGTGACAGAAGCTTCCACAGTGTAACAGAATGACAGTGACAGAACAAAAAACACAGATAATAAAAATAAAAATAGAACAAGTAAATAAGGAATAAAAATATATAAATTGACAATTGTGTGTGCCGGTATATTATAGACAGTGTTTTTTTTTTTTTGTATGTACAGGTACTGTATATTATGTGCAAATTTGAGGTGTAGGCTGAGTATGAGTGTTAGATAAATAAGTGTATTATTTCTTTTATTATATTAGTTGTTCTGTCTCAACTCTGAAGCCATCAAGAGTCCAGGTATCGGTTGGCGCTGCTGAACCCCTTAGACTCCAATCCGAAACTGAACATATTTTATATTATATTCTTTTATCTAGTCCTGTGCTATATAAAAAATTTAATAAAATCATATATCCTGTTCTATCACTATTAAATACATATCCCAATAAATATCCCACATCCTTATTCTTCTTACTTTATAGCATATCCTTTAGATATGCTATTAGTTCCTTCCTATCCTCACTATACTTTATACATTCATATATTGCATGCTCAATTGTTTCTTTCTCACCACAAAATTCACATAAGCCGTTAACATGTACACCAATTAAAAACAATGAACCATTCAACCCTGAATGACCCAGTCTTAATCTAGCTATTATCCCCTCTTCCTTCCTATTCCTTCCTCTTAAAATCATTTTAGTATCTACCTGCTTTTTGATTTTATATAAATGTCTTCCCTTATAATCTAAATCCCACACTTCTTGCCATCCCCTTGTAACATTCCTCTTAGTAATACTTTTAACTTCCGCTCTACCTAATGGAACATTGATATCAATTTCCTTTTTTTTTTAAAGCATTTTTAGCCAGTTGATCACTTATTTCATTCCCAACTACCCCCATATGTGCTGGAACCCAACAAAATCATATTAAAATTAACATTTCATTCATTAAATCTTCTCTAGATGACTGGTGGCTGCTGGAACCCAACAAAATCCTATTAAAATTCCTTTCCTTTGAATTCGCCATGTTAACATTAACATTTCATTCATTAAATCTTCTCTAGATGACTGGTGGCTGGATAATGAAGTTAAGACAGAAGCAGAGTCTGAGCAAATCACAGCTCTGCCTGGTGTCACTTCCTCTACCCACATAAGTCCCACTATAACAGCGACCATTTCAACAGAATATATTGATAATTCAGATGATAATCTTTTACTTATGAATATATCCAAGTCAGGGATATATATTCCTGCTCCTGTCATCCCCTTATCTGGATCTTTGGACCCATCAGTGTATATTTGTGTACGTCCATAAAATCTTCCAGATATATGCCTATATACATTACGTTTGAGTATTCCCATTTCCTCCCATTCCTTTCTCTTGTCCAAAATCTCCAGATCAATTTTTGCTTCAGGTATTATCCATATGGGCACTTCACTCCATACTGGAGAAATATTGCATACTATATCAGATATCTGGTATTTTTTTGCTAACTGGTTTATTTCTTCTTCTTTTTCTTGGCTTTTGCAACTTGTACTTATTGCATATCGCCACCTACTGTATAGGAGTGTGCAAAGGGTCTTGGGGGGACATTTTTTTTATGAATAAATAAATAAAATAAAACCCACAAAGGGTTATCTTTTGGTTTCTAAATTCTTCTTACTTAATCCAGTATTTTCAAGAAGTATAAACAAAGCTTTGAGTCTATTTCTTTCCATCCCTTGTTCTCTAATATTTTCAATTTTATTTTCTTCTTCCATTTCCTGCCATTTCTGCCTGTATTCATGGTATTTATTGCATCTAAACAAGACATGTTCTACATCTTCCTTGGTTTGACATCTTGTACACAATCCATTACTCTTCCCTATAGTCTGCAATGTATCATTCAATCCAGTCTGACCTAATCTCAGCCTTGAGTATACTGCTTCTTCTCGCCTGTTTGCCATATTTATCCTTTTTTCCTCCTACTTTTGCTTGGTTTATATGATAATGTTTAGCTTTAGACTCAAGACTCCTATTCTTTTTGCCATATTTGCATTATTTCATTGAACATCTCTGCTCCGTAGCCGTTTTTATACAGTCGGTAGTGACTTTTTTATGTTTTATTGCAGAAATATAATTCAATACAAAAGAGACAAATAATACAGAACAAAGAACATAGAACATATGGGGGAATACAGAGGAGAGAGAGAGAAAATGGAGGAAAAATATTCAAATGTAGCTACCTAAAACCCGTTCTATAATACGAGATACTTTTTTATTAGAGGAGACTTTTTGAAGTGATGATAATAATAAATGTAGATCAGAAGCAAATATTTTGCAGCTGGTGTTAAATTTAAGGTATCTAACTTTGTGGATATAGTATTTAGGCTAACCCATCATACAAATAAAGTTTAAGACTCCGTAGTGATTACAAATAGGTGCTGGTATATTGTAAGAAAAATATTATATTATACAATTATTAATATCACCAGTGTGTGTGTGTGTGGGGGGGGGGTCCTAATTTGGACTAATTTTATACTTGATTAATTTGAAACAATAATGTAATGAATGTAAATGTAAATGTAAAATAGCAATTGGAACGAGTATTATCAAAGACTATAGAAGACTTTGGTATTAGTAGTAGTAGTTGTATAGGTAGGTCATACGTGTATATCTTATCTTTTAGAAATGCAAACGAATTACAAATAAACCATCCGTCATTTCGGGCATTCCTACAAAATAAAAGAACCTTCTAATATATAGACATCGTTTTAATGAATAACATTGTTTGAAAACAATAAATGAAACTATAATCCTTATTGTGTCCTCTTAAAATGTAACCTTACATATATAATAGGTTCTAAACAACTCTCTATTATGTAGCAAGTAATAGAGAGAGAGAATGATCCACATCCCCCCAAATCATGTTTAAATGCCACAAAACCACAAATCTGCATTTGTGTAAATAAAACGTACATATTCAAATATCCATGCACAAAATTTCAACCTCTTTATTTTGACATTTTACTCAACTAGGTCATGGTTAATGTACGCGTTGTATCATTAAACTGCGGCGATTGGTTCAATTCCAGGTGACAGGGTAATGAGTGGCGTGTTTGCCAGCCAATGAGACTGTACGCTGGCCTTTGACGTATTTACGGCGAACGTACAGGCCTCGCTCTCGTTCTTGATCAGCGCGAACCGCAGCATTTGACGGACGCAAGAGATACACTTTTGCACGGGAAAATGGTGGCTTACTGGAGACAAGCAGGGCTGAGGTACCAGAATGACAATTAATAACGTAACAAGTTGTGTAATTTGTGTTTTAAGTGCTGTACGCTCTCTAATTTGTGCGCTGTATATGTGCTGTACGGTTTGGCCTTGCTCTGTATAACGTTAGCTATGAATTTAATAGCGTCATTTTGATTTTGACAGTGGACGTATTCATACGAGCAATTTTTGCTTGAGTTATTCAGTAACTTAATATTTCTCTCGTCATTTCAGTTACATCAGGTACTCGGCTATCTGCGCCAGGGTCGTGCGGGCAGCACTGAAGCCACAGCTGAAAACTGAAGCGATTAGACACGCAGAATCCAACGTGAAGGTCACTAAAGTGAAGACTGTATAGTGTGAGTTAAAATTTCAGCTGTTTTTCAGAACTGTACGGCTCTTGTAGAAAGTGATGCATTAACTGACCTCTTAACCTATTTTTTTTATATCTTTGTTTTTTCTGCTTTTTTGTAGGATCTGTAATTACACCCTTCAATCCCCACTACGTTCTCTGTAGGATTTACAACAATACCTGCAGTTATGATGATTGAATGAAAATAGTTGTATTCTTTTGATAATAAATTATGAAGAGTCTCAAACTAAAACAGCCTTCCCTTGGTGTGGTCTTGATCCAAAGAGTTTTCTGTGTAGCAGATGTTCATTGGGCAAACTGAGTTTATTGTGTGCTGTTAATCTATAGTAGTACTGGTTATGTCTGGTTTTACAGCATCAACAAAAGAGACACTAAAACTGTTAACAGTTTGCAGCCCAGTAGTTGTTTAAAAATAAAGTAAATGTTGGATTTAGTGTGATCTCAGTGTAAGATGTGAGCAAATTTGGCTTTTCAATATTTACAGTGCTCTTTGTATATAATTAAAGGGGTCATATGATGCGATTTCAATTTTTTTCTTTCTCTTTGGAGTGTTACAAGCTCTTGGTGCATAAAGAAGATCTGTAAAGTTGCAAAGACTAAAGTCTCAAATCCAAAGAGATATTCTTTATAAAAGTTAAGTCAACCACGCCTACCTAAAACGGCTCGTTTCTCAGGCTCTGCAAGGAAGGAGGTGTACATCAGGTTTAACTATGTAGAGATGTTAACTATTATTTTACATGAACAAAACAGCAAGATTTTCAGAGATGGATTTATTTTATTTAGATATATACAGCGTTATGTAAAACCCCATAGATTCGCAAAATGAATAGGTTAGTCTCTGTTGCTTACTGATATCCCAAAAAAAAGATTTTAATACATTTTGCAAGAAAACTGATGGGTAAATGACAATGAAATGGTAAACACGTGAAAGTTCTTAGCATTATAAATACTCAAGTACAGTGCAGATACATCAAATATATTCTGAAACAGTTGCAGTTTATATTGATAAAATCATTTTGTATCATGGTTTTAAAGGATAAGCAAAATTAACAAAAACAAAAATGTAGCATTTTAAAAATATTGACAACAAATGACAAGCGTCTATATCGCACTATTACACCACACAAAAGAAAAACCTTTTGACTAAATCTGTTTTTCCATATATTTTTCTCAAGATATCTAGATTTCATTATTACAGAACATACAGAAATTGTATTCTCCAGTGATGTTATACATCAATATAAATTCATTTTTTAATATCTTTATATAAAATAAGCTTTACAACAAACTATTCACTACCATTCAAAAGTCTGGGGTCAGTGAAATTGTTTCTTTAAAGGAATGCATACTTTTATTTGATAAGGATGCATTAAATTGATCAAATATAACATTTATAATGTTACAAAAGATTTCCATATGACGTAAATGCTGTTCTTTTAATCCTTTCTATTCATCAAAGAATCCTGAAAACTTTTTTTTAACATTGATAATAAATAATTTTTTCTGAAAGTTCAGCTTTACATTTCTATTCACAATATTACTGTTTTACTCTATTTTGATTAAATAAATGCAGCCTTTATGAGACTTTCAAAAACATATCGACCCCAAACGTTTGAAAATATATAGCAAAGATTAGAAAATTATATTTGAATTTTGATTCTATATCCTATTTAAATTTGTGTAATTCATCATCCTGGAGATCAGAAATATTTCACAGTTTGCTATGAACAGTGACTCCAAATAGTATTTGAACACTTAAGGCACATTGGCATTGAATTACAAAAATACAAAAAAAAAAAAAGTTTCATTTAAAAAGCACACCTTTCAAGCCAAGTATTTTTTCTAATGCAATGTAATTCCTATATTAATTTTAACTGGATCTTAAGTGTCTAAATACTTTTTGGGGTCACTGAATGTTCTCACTCTTTACACAATCAGATCCACTCTTGTCATATTCACTAAAGCCCATGCGTCATTCACTAACAGAAGTTTCAGTGACCACCTCAGTCTTCATCTCCACTCGAGTGCTGTGTGCTGTTGATGACAGACCCTCCTCTTCTGTCACTTCATCTTCTGCATCGTAATCCATTTCGGCGGTGGCATCCTGATATTGCTGGTACTCTGAAACCAAATCATTCATGTTGCTCTCGGCCTCGGTGAACTCCAGCTCATCCATGCCCTCACCCGTGTACCAATGCAGGAAGGCCTTGCGTCGAAACATGAGTGTGAACTGCTCTCCTATGCGCTTGAATATCTCCTGGATGGCGGTGTTGTTTCCGATGAAGGTGGAGGACATTTTGAGGCCTCGTGGTGGGATGTCACAAACGGCCACTTTGACGTTGTGAGGGATCCAATCTACAAAGTAATTGCTGTTCTTCTGTTGAATGGCGAGCATCTGCTCATCGACCTCTTTAGTGGACATGCGACCACGGAAAATGCCCGCGACTGTCAGATAGCGTCCTCGACGGGGGTCGCACGCGGTCATCATATTTCGGGCATCGAACATCTGCTGGGTGAGCTCGGGCACCGTTATGGCACGGTATTGTTGGCTACCGCGAGCAGTGAGAGGAGCAAAACCAGGCATGAAGAAATGGAGACGCGGGAAGGGCACCATATTGACGGCCAGCTTACGAAGGTCAGCATTCAGTTGACCTGGGAAGCGAAGGGAGGTCGTGACCCCGCTCATGGTGAGGGATACAAGGTGGTTGAGATCTCCATAAGTTGGTGTTGTGAGCTTAAGAGTGCGAAAGCAGATATCGTACAGCGCTTCGTTATCAATACAATACGTCTCGTCTGTATTCTCAATCAGTTGGTGGATTGATAGGGTCGCGTTATACGGCTCGACTACTGTATCGGAGACTTTCGGCGAGGGCATTATGCTGAAACTATTCATGATGCGGTCAGGATAATCTTCTCGGATCTTATTGATAATCAGGGTACCCATTCCCGAACCAGTGCCACCGCCCAGAGAGTGGACGAACTGGAAGCCCTGCATGCAGTCGCAGCTCTCGGCTTCATTACGAACACGATCCACAACCTGCTCCACGAGTTCTGCGCCCTCAGTGTAGTGACCTTTGGCCCAGTTATTGCCAGCTCCAGAATTGCCTTTACATTTACAAAGAGAAAACAACATCAGGAAAGATGTTATAGCATATGAGTGGCATTGTGCCATGCAGGAACTCTTCAATCAGCCTATCAGATTTCAGAGTTTGGGTTAAGGCCTGTTCACACTAAGGATGTAACTATAACTGTAACTATATAATTGTAATTCTATGACAATAAAAGTCCACAAAACAACTATAACAATAATGACACAGAGGAACTATATAGTTGGAATCACTTTCAGAACTTTTTTTTTCCAACTGATGAATGATAAAAACATTGACAGCCAATAAGAATCCATTAGACTTTTAAGAACACAAGCATTTAAGTCAGCAGACAACAAAACTGCATGTGTTATTGTGCATTGGTGTGGATGCTAACTTTATAGTTAGCATTCACAGAGTGAACAGACATTTAGCCCTAAAGGGGTCATATGATGCAATTTAAATTTTTCCTTTCTCTTTGGAGTGTTACAAGCTCTTGGTGCATAAAGAAGATCTGTAAAGTTGCAAAGACTAAAGTCTCAAATCCAAAGAGATATTCTTTATAAAAGTTAAGAATCAACTACGCCTACCTAAAATGGCTCGTTCTAACACGCCCCCACATGTCTACGTCACGATGTGGGAAGACTTGCATAACGCCGCCCAAATGTTCACGCAAAGAAAGAAGGCGTAACTTTGATTCTCGCTGTAGTATTGTTGTTGCCGCCGCCATGTCGTGGAGACACTGTGTGTTTCGTTGTGAAATCGAAACTACTTTGTTTGGCCTTCCAAAAGAGGACACAACTAGAAATCAGTGGTTAAGTGGTTAACACTGTTCCGGAACGGTTCAACCCAAATATTCAGATGTGTGCAGTGCATTTTATGGAGGGCGAGGACTGTTTCCTGGGAAAGTAGCCTACAATGCCGGTGTCTGTTTCTATAAAGTGGGGCAATTCCAACTTTGCAAGGACAGTCTGGCGCTTCATGACTCACAGCCTGTAAGTACATTTTCATATTTAAAGAATTTGCCGCTGACGATTCAAACGTGACTTTTGAGCAGTGTAGAGTAGCACTTGTTGTTTGTCATTTCTCCGATCACAAATGCAGACATGGTTTTATGTTTATGCGGCGCGATACACAACGCGTAAAAAGACAGGATAAGTCATTATAATCAGTAATTATGTCCACACTGGATGCAACAAATGGCTCGTTTTTAATGGGTTTTATTGGTGTTGTCTCATCGCGCCGGGACACGGCATCACAGTATGGTAAGGGGCATAACATTTCCGCAACACGCTTGAGGTATTTGGCCAATCACAACGCACTGGATAGCTGGCCAATCAGAGCACACCTCGCTTTTCAGACCGATGAGCTTTGTAAAAATCTACGCTTTTCAGAAAGGTGGGGCATAGAGGAGAAACAATAATGTACAGTATGTGGAAAATAATGTGTTTGAACCTTAAACCGCATAAACGCATTTCATTACACCAAATACACCAAATAATGTTCTTTTTAGCAACGTCATATGACCCCTTTAAAGCTGGGGTTGGAGCTTTAAGAATATTCTTATTTTCATCTGATTTTAGGAGTAGTACATAGTAAGGGTGGGGATTAGGAATAAATTTAGAGCTATATTTTTTGACAAGACTATTTCAGACTGTTGACGGTGAGTTTATTAGTTCATGGTTAGGAAAAAATTATAAAAAATTTAATTTTCCATTTCCATTCTGCATACAAGTGAAAGAATACTTTTTGACTCAAAAGGGTTCTTTGGGCATTCTTTAACATTATTAAATTATATTTGTGTTTTTACTCCAGTTTCACTTTGGCACACCTTTCTGGATAAATTAAACTGTAACTTTAACAGAAAAGAATTGCCGTGCATTTAAAGTGTTTTAAGTCAACAGGTTTATCTTTTTATTACTGATAAAAATTATACTGATATTCAATCTGCACACAAAGTAACATGAATGATGACGTTCTTTAGTTCTCATGTCAAAAGATGCCATATACAGCTCTTATATTGATGAGCAACATGCTCACATGACAGTCTATTGTTATAACTCAAAAAATACAAATGATCTTCAAAAATAACAGGAAACAACTTGAACGTTTATATGCACTGATCAGTTTCATGGAACCCAAAATGGTTCTTCAAATGGCATCACTGCGAAACCCCATTTTGGAAGCTTTACTTTTAAGAGATTCAGAAGTGATGAAACCAAACCTGTTTATAGAAGTTAATAAGATGAGAATAATCAAAGCTTACATTGTCAACCCACATGGTACCAAAATAAAATGTCTTTAATGTAGGTGATGGTTGGCTCACCGTGTATATAGTTATCCGGTCTGAAGAGCTGTCCTATGTGACTGCCCCTCACGCTGTCCATAGTGCCCGGCTCCAGGTCCACTAACAATGCTCTTGGAACATATTTGCCCCCTGAGAGGCAATGAAACATCTCAGTCACTGAGAATTTAGTCATAGGATGTTACTGTGTTCCATCTGTAGCCGAGTACTTTTATCATAATATATAACTCCCACAATTTACAATGATAACAAAAATACAGAATGGATACAATTTAATTTAAATAAATAAATAAAAAAATGCTATGAAAAAATATAAAAAATGTATATTAAAAAAAGCATTTCCAACCCAATATAGAATACAATCTTATACATGTAATATATAATATAGATATTTATTTATGTGCTAAAAATGTATGAATATCATTTGGGTTTGTGAGGGAACTGCAGTGGTTTGTAAGTTGATGAAAAGCTAATAATAAAATAAAAATAAAATAAATAAATGGGGTTGCATGATAATTACGATATAGCTTAGTGGGATTATCAAATCCAAGGCTGCAATTTAAATAAATAACTGTATAGTCTGATCTTCATTACAAATTTCAGGACGTACTTTAAGTAAATATTTGATATCCAAGGGGTTTGACTGAAAAAAGTTTGGGAATCCCTACAAATATTTTAATAGCCACTGTATAGAAACAGAAAACATGAATGTAATGTGTAGGTCTGTATACCATGCGCTTCATTGAAGTAAACATTGACCCTCTCCAGCTGAAGGTCCATGTCGCCCTCATACGCTCCTGCTCTGTTAATACCATGTTCATCACTGATCACCTCCCAGAACTGCAAATACATGAAAACATTTTTAGCTTGAAAATTAATGACCATATTTTCTCCACTCTACTGCGTTGTGATCTGCTCAGACTGATTTCTTCAGCACTGAATGAATGAACAAAACTGTCATTTTCAACACACACAGCCAGAGGAGGCCTTCAATAACTGACTTATCTGTTAAGTTTAAGTATCTTGCAATTGTTCTTCCAGATGCCATTCAGTTTTGACCACAATTCTACTGCATCTATCACTCAGAAATTCACAGGCCGCTAAGCTCATTTCCATGATAAAGAAGGCCCATCCCCGTCAGAGGAGGCTCTGTGCCTCTTATCTTACAGTAGACCACTTTAGGGTGAACTCCCTTGACCGCACGTATCATAACTTGAAATATTTATTCAGTTTAAAAAGTCTTCATACTTCGAATATAGTAGTAAAGAAGTTTTTGCTATTGCTTTTAACTGAAAAAGCACATTACTGCAATATTTAGCTACTAATAGAATGCTGTTCAAAATCACAGTAAACTCCAAAAATTGCTATAATAATAAAAGAAATGCATGGCATAAACAACTGAATAAATGAACTACTAATAAATACTCATAATAAAGAAATGCATGCTCATTTGTCTGTTAAGCCTGCATCAGATTCTATAGCTTGAAATCAAGTTGAGGTTAAGATGATAATGCAGCTGCTAATTATAAAAATACACATAAAAACACATATTTGGAGCCATCGCACCTTTGAGCCGATCTGATTCCCACACTGTCCGATCTGTAGATGAACAATCTCACGCATAATGATAGATTTGGGACGTTGAAAGAGCAGTAATAGCCTTGACCGTGAGTCTGAGGTGCCCACTGTGTGTGTAATACCACTGATGACATCACTAAGAGGGAGTCACCCATATGTCACATAATGTACAGTACTAGTCAGTGTGACACTGAATTAGCAAGCTAGTAGAACAGACTACTGCATTTAATTGAAGAAGAACAATTGTGTTGTAGAGTCAGTTTAGCACGCTATGAATGACCAAAGTGATGATGTTTATGAAGAATTTAAGGGTTTAAATATTTAAATATTTAAAATGCAAAAAGTCCTATCATCATGAGCTTGGATCAGTCACCGTCTCTCTGGCATGCATGATAAGACTCTTGCAGGCCCTATCTGCCGCAATGCAGTGACTCAGACCATCAGAAAGACAGACAGACCACATACTCATTGTCTAAGTGTTTCCTGCAACAAGAGTTAGAGTTAGAGTGTTTATAGCCTATATGTTGAAGTTGGCAGATCTTCCTGGTCTGGAAGTTCAGTTTGGAGGCCAGCATTCCTAGCTAACAAAAACATGTTTTTGCTAACTTTCCCATTAAGTTAAAAACGCCATTTCTGAATACCCCCGTTTTTTTCTCCCATGTTTTAAAAATGTTTTTTCTTGGTTATGTGAATGTTAAGAGAACGTTCCAATTTGCAAACATTATTGGAATATTGCGTTTGAATGTTCTCTGAACAAGTAGTAACATTTAAACATGTTTCAGGAAAAAACATTCCATGGACAATGTATTAATAATGTTTCTGTGCAAAATTGTTGAGAATGTTATTAAAGACCAGATAACTTTGAACAAACATTCTATTAACATTACTGGAAGAATGTTTGTTCATAACTTTTGAGAGAACCTTGCTAGAAAGTTCTGTTAGCTGGGTTTATGCAGATATATATTTTACCAACAGATGCCACTGTTGTGCTCCAAGTAGTTTTCACAAGAGCTGTTTGTTATTTTAATCCTACATTTAAAAATTGACTCAATCATTCATCTTCCTGTCATTTATTAAGGTGATTCTTGACTATCAAGATCCCAAGCAACCATGAATAATTTAAGTTAAGATAAACCACAAGTACTGAGTTCCCTTTCAGTCGGTCACTCTCGATGTCATGTCGGTGACCGACGAATTAGGATCTCGCTTTGAGAGACCTATCTACTTCGAGTGTAAACTAAATGAGCCAATGGTCATTGGCATGCGATAATTGCATCCAGCTCCCACTGATCACAGCGTGAGCATAAAAAGGCAGCCAATGCAACGCATACCAGCTTTTCGCTTCGGAGCCGAGCGACAACATCGTTCTGCTCTTACCAGTGTCTTCAGTGAACTGCGAGTTCAACGCGCTCTTGGAAGCTTTTGGTGTTGGCAGACGGCGCTTCAGCGGTGGTTGTTCCTGTGTCGAGTGGGTTGCGCACTTCAGGCTGCACTACCCCCTGTCATGCTGCAAGCGGCCACCTCAACTGTGCGTCTCAGCACATAAAAGAGCATTTCCCTGAAATCGTCTTTTTAAAGATGCCGTTTCACCCGTGTGTTTCTGGATGTGGTCATTACCTGGCGCCAGGTGATGGTTCACGTGTCTGGGCATTAAACACGCTGAGGTGGCGTTCGTGGATGAGTCATGTTCCCATTGCGGGAAGATGACCATCTCGGAGCTGCGGACCAGGCTTCGTTATCTTCAGGGGGGCGGAGTTCCGTTGCCTCTACCGCGATCAGGTGCATGAAGAGCTCACCAGGTCGTGGATGGCACCTTTTACTGCCAGCTCCTCCTCCCTCACCACCCTCGATGGTAGTGCAGCGGTCGGTAGCGATGCAGTTGTGTCCTAAGACCGCCTCCTCCTGGCGGGGAAACCCGTTGCTCCCCTCCCGGGCCTGTAGGCATTCATCTGGTCTTGTGGAGAAGCTGCCTCCGCCTTACACGCTATGGCGTTACTGCAGGTGCACCAGGCCAAGGCACTGAAGGACCTGCACAAGAATGGTCACGATCCGGAAGTTCTAAAAGAGCTCCGAAACGCTACTGACCTCGCGCTCCGAGTGACGAAGGTCACCGCGGGTTCTCTGGGTCGTGCGATGTCCACGCTTGTGGTCCAGGAGCGCCATCTCTGGCTGTGTCTGGCCGACATGAGGGACGCCGACAAGGTACAAGGAATCCACTGCTTGTATTCATTCAAGGGCAGGACAGCGGTCCCACTGAAACAATTTCAGAGGCTCCTGGGGCATATGGTAGCTCCAGCGGCAGTTACACCACTGGGGCTGCTTCATATGAGACCGCTTCAGCACTGGCGTCATGGCCGAGTCCCGAGGTGGGCATGGCAGCACGGCACTCACCGGGTACAACGGGCACACAGTTTCGGGGGAGTGGACGGGCCCCCAACTGCACTGGCATTTCAATTGCCTAGAGTTGTTAGCGGTGCGCCTTGCCTTGAACCGTCTCAAAGGGTGCTTACGAGGCAAGAACGTGCTGGTCTGAACAGACAATATGGCGACCGTTGCGTACATCAACTGACAAGGTGGTCTACGCTCCCGTCGCATGTCGCAACTTGCCCGCGGAAGTCAGAAGGTTCTGAGGTCACTTCGTGCCATTCATATTCCGGGTCTGCTCAACTGTACAGCCGACGATCTGTCACGAGCTACGCGCCCGGGAGAATGGAGACTCCATCCCCAGACGGTCCAGCTGATTTGGAGACGTTTCGGAGCCGCTCAGGTAGAACTGTTTGCCTCTCCAGAAACCTCTCACTGCCCGTTGTTCTACTCCTTGACCGAGGGAACACTCGGCACGGACGCACCGACACACAGCTGGCCGCGGGGCCTGCGCAAGTATGCGTTTCCCCCAGTGAACCTTCTCACACAGACGCTGTGCAAGGTCAGGAAGGACGAAGAGCAGGTCCTGCTTGTGGCGCCGTATTGGCCCACTCGTACCTGGTTCCCCGAACTAATGTTCCTCGCGATAGCCCCTCCCTGACAGATTCCTCTGAGGAAGGATCTACTGACTCAGGAACGGGGCACCCTGTGGCACCCACGTCCAGACCTCTGGAAACTTCATGTCTGGTCCCTGGATGAGACACGGTGGTTCTAGGTGACCTACCCCAGCGGGTAGTTGACACCATCACTTCGGCACGAGCACCGTCTATGAGACACGCTTATGCCTTGAAGTGGAACCTGTTCGTCGAGTGGTGTTCTTCTCGCCGAGAAGACCCCCGGACATGCCCGATCAGGGTCGTTCTTTCCTTTCTGCAGCAGGGGTTGGAGTGAAGGCTGTCTCCCTCCACCCTTAAAGTCTATGTCACTGCGATTGCTGCTCACCATGACCCCTTGGAGGGGAGGTTGGTAGGGAAGCATGACCTGGTCATCAGGTTCCTTAGGGGGGCGAAAAGGTTAAATCCTCCCTGGCCCCCCTCCATACCCTCTTGGGACCTGTCTCTGGTGCAAAACACTACAGCAGGGCCCATTTGAGCCTTTGCAGTCAGTTGAGCTGAAGTTTCTATCTATGAAAACTCTGCTCCTGCTTGCACTCACCTCCATCAAGAGGGTAGGGGACAGAGGAGGCAGACCCAGCCTTAGCTTTGCTTTGTCCTGTCCGAGCTTCGAGATGCTATGTAGACTGGACACAAAGCTTCAGGACCTCAGACCAGCTCTTTGTCTGTTACGGTGGCAGAAGGGGAGTGCCGTCTCTAAGCACAGGATGGCCCACTGGATTGTGGATGCCATCACCCTGGCTTATCAGGCACAGGGTATGCCCTGCCTGCTCAGGTTGCGAGCTCACTCTACTAGAAGTGTTGCATCCTCCTGGGCGCTGGCTCGTGGCACCTCGCTGACAGATATTGGTAGAGCTGCGGGCTGGGCGACCCCCAACGCGTTAGCTAGATTCTATAGCCTTCGTGTGGAGCCGGTATCCTCCTGTGTTCTCGCCTCAAATGGGTAGAGGCACTGAGAGGCCCCGGTTTAGTGTCGGCTTGCTAAAACCACTCCAGAGAGTCCATACTGTAGACCCTGTTGAGCTCCTCCATCCCCTCGGCAGCCAGACGTGGCGGAATCCCCGGCGCCAGGCCCTCACTCAATGAATCCGTGAGAACCGGTAGAGGGCTGGGTTCCATATGTAGAGACCTAAGCGGATCCCATATGTGTAAAGTCCACGGTATAGCCTCAGAGCCCGTGTTTCACCGGCAGACTTCTGCCATTTCCATGATGGTTACAATCACCTCTAATCTTCCATATGCACCTAAACGGATGTCAAATGCGTAAGTGCTTCCGAAACCTCCTTCGGGAAGGCTGGGGCTTCCGCAACGTTCCTGTTCCAAGTGGAACGGGTACGTTTTCCCAGTGTTATCCAATCTCATTGAGTGGGTAGTGCTACGACAATGGTGACTGGTCTTCTTGTTGCGATCCCCGGCCTACACCAAAAAGGGGCGCAGGCGGCTCGCACAGGACACTGGAAGGGACAGCATCCATGGCGCTTTGGTAGGGATCCCAATTCGTCGGTCACCGAGGTGACATCGAGAGTGACTGACTGAAAGGGAACATCTCGGTTACATATGTAACCCTCGTTCCCTGAAGGAGGGAATGGAAATGTCACGTCCCGTCGCCTCGGCTGCTGTACCTCCGCTGAGCGGCCGGGTCACCGGCTCGGCTCCTCAGCAAAAACCTGGTATGCATTGCATTGGTTGCCTTTTTATGCTCATGCTGTGATCAGCGGCAGCTTGATGCAATTATCGCATTCCAATGACCATTGGTTCATTTAGTTTACACTCGAAGTAGATAGGTCTCTCGAAGTGAGATCCCAATTCGTCGGTCACCGACATGACGTCTCCGTTCCCTCCTTCAGGGAATGAGGGTTACATACGTAACCGAGACGTTATTCAAAAGACCCGAAGTGGCGGCACTCTTGTTGATAATGTCAATGCATGAGGCATGCTGCAGCACAGATTAAGAACAGAAGGCATGCTATTGTGTGGGTTATTCAACCTTCCAAGAAACAGGAGAGTGCTCGTATATTTAGCAACGTGCTGCACTTTTTGTACAAACTGTGTCAGA